GATGCTGCTGTTTCGAAAGCGACCCAGGCTATATTTTTATACGTATATTTTTATATGAAGTTATCACTATAGCATGAAAGCCCACTGACATTTAACGTAATAATTACTGTGGACCAGATATTTTCATAAGTAGTTGCTCATCAGTGATAAAAGTAAATGTGTAGAAAAGGAGTTTGATCAGTGTATTATGTGGTACAAGACTTCCATGAGATATTATTTCTTTGTTTGATGTGAAGAGATCAGGAGAAAGTATCCCTTTATTGTGTGCTGTCTTCATCACGACCAATTATAGAATGCATTGCGGTACTCAGTTTTTAAATTTCAAAATTTTCTCTAGCATAACCAATGAACTGAAATGATGTAGAAGTATTTCATTGGCAATAGCTCACAATGAAGTTATGAAGTTGTGCCTTTAGTCACTAGTTCCCTGAAACCGTTCAACTAACACAGGGTTGCCATATTTCCAAAATTTCCCAGACATATATGGCATTTGGCCATCGGAAACACTGTCCGGGTAGAAATTGCTGAAATGTCTGAGAAAATCCACATATATGGCAACCCATGTCGGAAGTGTCGATTTTGATGAATTCCCTTCAAAATATCTTTAAAACTTCATTATTATTATTTTAGATTGGGGGGGAATTGTGTCTGGATGAATTCCCTTCAAAATACCTTTAAAACTTCATTATTATTATTTTAGATTGGGGGGGAATTGTGTCTGGATTTTCACTTTTCAAAATATGGCAACTAACTTCTAACACTTCTTCTTGGGTAAACGACTTTTCCAAATTATTCCACAGTGAATTAGCACAATCTGGTGTGACCAAAGAGTCAATTTGCACGTGGGCGCAGCAGTCGTTTCACCAAAACAGCTCACAGTTATTTCAATGACTTCAGGAACACTTTTTTCCATAGTTAGTGGAAGCAAAAATTTAAGACACGAGCTTTGCCTCTGTGCATCTGCACCTTCTGCCTGGTTAATGGTAGCTGATATGAATTTTGCATACTTTTTGCTTGGTACAATCTGTGCCACTTTTGATGGGAATAGGGTCCTGCAAGCTTTCAAGGAAAGGTGATCCCTTCCACTCCTCGAAAAATCATTGCTGATTAGAAAGGGCTTTGTCAGTCTCAGGCCTGTGTCTAATCTTCCAAACAACTTAAGGTATTCACGGATGAAATATCTGCTCTCAATCCATTTGTACAACTTTTGAGCTGGTTGTGACACAGAGACAGGTTTAGCAGCCTAGGTGGATGAACTGTGCTTCCAGACTGATAGGGGAATAATTATCCTAGCCACAACACAGTGCACAGCTTTGGCATGGCATGGGGTGGTGATCCTGCTATCAGTGGGTCCGACTGCTAGCCAATGTTCACATATGAGGAATTAGCTGGAATGTCTTGCCCACTGTGGCATGTGCTGATACATCCCTCTAGGAACCTGGGGGTTCAGCAACCTAATTCCCCTCCCCGAGCTAGGGCTGCAGGCATAGGTGCCACCACAAGATCCATTAAGTGGGGCACCCATTACCTGGTTAACCCGGCTATAGATGCTGCCCAATGCCTCTCCCACAACTACCAAGTTGAGACAATAAATGTTAATAGTCCCAACCCCTGCACTGCAATGAGGAAGGCAAAATCACAGATCCAGTTGTGCTAGTGACTAAAATTTCTTCCCAGCCCTGTTAACCATGGGCTGACCACTGTCCAGAGCCATGCACTTTATGGAAACCTGCCAAGTGGCAAAATCTGGAAAGCAAGGAAATGAGGGATGGCAGAGAAGTTGCTGACCAAACTGTTGGAGACCCATAGCCAGGGCTGTACGCATAGTCCAGGAGGGGACCAGAGGAGAGCAGTCTTCTCTCTGGCCAACTTTGCCGGCCCCATCTCTAGTCCTAAAAGATCTATATTGGCTCCCAGTACGTTTCCGAGCACAATTCAAAGTGTTGGTGCTGACATTTAAAGCCCTAGAAGGCCTTGGCCCAGTATACCTGAAGGAGTGTCTCCACCCCCATCCGGACACAGAGGTCCAGCTCTGAGGGCCTTCTGGTGGTTCCCTCCCTGTGAGAAGTGAGGTTAAAGCAAACCAAGCAGAGGGCCTTCTCGGTAGTGGCACCCACCCTGTGGAATGCCCTCCCATCGGATGTCAAGGAAATAAACAACTATCTGACTTTTAGAAGACATCTGAAGACAGCCCTGTATTGGGAAGTTTTTAATGTTTGATGTTTTATCGTGTTTCAAATATTCTGTTGGGAGCTGCCCAGAGTGGCTGGGGAAACCCACCCAGATGGGCAGGGTATAAATAATAAATTATTATTATTATTTCAGGAGGTCAATCAGGGCTTTTGATTGGTCAGCCAAGGCAGATTGATTCGAATCCCCATGTGGCAGGTTGGCAGCATGAGAGACGCCTCGCAGCCACATCGTAACATGCTAGGGAACTTGCTCCCTCCTGCAAATTGGGATCCTCAGGGAAGACAGAGACCTAAGACGTGTATTAGATGGAGTTTAGCCAACGTTCGCTGTTCTGCACCATTTACCAGAAGTGTGCAATCAGTAACATTACCCAAATGGGGATGAAGGAAAAATTACCCTTGAAACACGCTCCTACTTAACTCCAAAAGTTAGTGATTAATTGAGAGCAAGAGAATGCTGTTCCAAGTGAAATGAAACCATTGAATCCGGTGGGGTAAACCTTAGCCAAATTCCAACAAGGAAGGCAAAAAGTAATTTCATGAATGTGTCCTACAGTGACTTGTTTGTATATCCATGTGCTTGCCAAATGTTATACCATACATTATAGTTTCTTTATGAACTCACATATTCAGTATTTTCAATGGGACACCTTTTTTTTTAAGAACACAGGAAAAGAGATTTATGGCACTGCTTGCTGCTACTGAGATCTGCAATTGCATACAGCGTACATTACTGTCATTGCAGAATATGTGGAGACCTGTATGTCTGATCTGAAAACTGTATACTTATGGTTGTTGTTGAATAAATAAAGCACAATCATTTTAACAGACCATCAATCAGAATCTTTTTTTAGTAATTTATTAGTGTGTCTTTTTATTTTATGATTTCCCTTAAATGCGCCTAAGGTAAAGGTAAAGGATCCCTAACAGTTAAGTCCAGTCGTGAATGACTCTGGGTTGCGGCGCTCATCTCACTTTTCCCGGGTCATGTGGCCAGCATGACTAAGCTGCTTCTGGCGAAACCAGAGCAGCGCATGAAAACGCTGTTTACTTTCCTGCCGGAGTGGTACCTATTTATCTACTTGCACTTTGACGTGTTTTCAAACTGCTAGGTTGGCAGGAGCTGGGACCGAGCAACGAGAGCTCACCCCGTTGCGGGGATTCGAACTGCCGACCTTCCAATCGGCAAGCCCAAGAGGCCCAGTGATTTAGACCACAGCGCCACCTGCATCCTTTAAATGCACCTACTCCTTCCTTATTACAAGCTTCAGCTCCAGACAATGATAAGCAGAGTGACCTCTTGTCTCTAATACCTTTCTATTCCAGACATTACAAGACTGGACTGACAATTTATTTGGGGCAGTAATTTTCATGGATGATAAAAAGGGAAATAACAAAACAGAGCCAATACTTTAAAAGAAGCGCCTGCAGACTGCGATCCTGTATACACCTTCATAGGATAAAGTTCTATTTAACAATGGGACTTAGTTTTAAGTAGAAATGCACTGGATTTCACTGGCCCGCATTGCTGACGTTTAATACTTAAGACGAATCAAAGCTCTTCATTTTGAAGTTAATTAGACAACAACCGTGGAGGTCACTACTGAATTACCCTTGCAATCATCCAGACCTGTATTGAGCACTTCCAGTGTAAAATAACAGACACAGCAAAAGACACAGCTTTGCCAGTGTTATGTCTAATTGTTCTTACTATTTCGAAAACATGGGAATATCAGCCAAAATGAAGCAAATTTGCTAACCTTTGCCAAAGAAAAATCATCAGTGAAAAACTGCACAGCTGATCAAGTGATCAATGCCGTCATGAATATAGTTAGACCTCAACAAATTCTGTGGGGTGCTACTGCTGACGTTTGAGTTCCGGTTACGTGGTTTGATTTTGTAGCTTCCACATTACGAATTTCATCTTCCATTGTTCCTTAGTTTGCGTCAGGACTCAAGTCCTATATTGAATGCCAGAATTACCTGAAGTAATAAGAAATGTCTCTAGGTCTTAGGAGGGTGTGATTCCATTGCTACTAAATTACCATAGACAGGCTATGTGCTTCTTGGCTTAGTATCTAGAGCAGTGTTTCTCAAACTTGGGTTTTTGGACTACAACTCCCATCATCCCTAGCTAGCAAGACCAGGGGTCAAGGATGATGGGAACTGTAGTCTGAAAATAGCTGGAGACCCAAGTTTGAGAAACACTGATCTAGAGCTTCCAGCCAGGTTCAACACTGGACATCTTTCTTTAGAAACTATTTTTGTTTATAAGCCTCCCTTTTAGTTGTGCTTTGTTGGAGACGTACTGTCCAGTACAACCCTAAGCAGAACCAATACCTGTATGACAGACGTTGTAACACTGATAAAAGGTTAGTCAGAAAATATATCTTGGACTTCCCAACAGTGTTCGAAACTCCCATTGTTCTAGGCGCATTTTGCGACAGGGCATTTCATTAGCGTGAGCAGTTTCTGAGCTCTGGGCACAGTGCTGTGCCTAAGATTTCAGATTAAGATTGCAGAGTGGAAGGAAAGGGGGACCTTTTTCTGCCTCCCCATTACTCTCTGAAGACTGGAAAAGAGACCCTCTGAAGAATATTAGGGGGGTGGGCAGGGGAAAGACTAGACCATGTGAAAAATGAACATAATATTTTAGCTGCAGTTCATTCATTTTCAGCTTTGTATGCTTGTTATTAAAAAAACCCCACACACCTGGAGAGTCTGTTGTTGCGCCCGTAACTTCAGTTTAATGTGCCTTCTAGCTCCTAGCTTTCATATCTTTAACACTGCTACCCAAGGTATAAGGTCATGATTGCTAACCTTCACAATCTGAATCTTCAAATGGGAAATTGTCAAAGTGTAGAGCTGCTCAATGTGATACCACTCCCTCTGTTTCAAGTCATTACTCGCAAGCATCTGGAATATCTGTGGAGACCTTACGGTCCATATGTGGTCAAAGCTGTGAAGACTTCTGGAAACCAGAACAACTACAGTGGGCAGGAGACATCTGAAGTAAATACGGTCAACTTGCTGGCGATGTGCACAGAAGCTGAAGAGCCGAAACTGTACTTGGCTAAGAAGAAGAAAAATACTTAATTCTCTGAGATAAGTTACCTCAATTGCTGGCCAAAGCCAAGCCTTGACTGGAAGAAGACACTGTACTATTCAGCTCAGGGCAAAGTATCTCACATTTCACTCCTGATTATTGTATGAAGAGATGGTGGCTGTGAGCGTTGCAAACCATCTCCTCACGAACGCAGCCTTACAGCAATTTCTCCATGTGGTTGCTGTTACCAAGTGAGGAGGACATCATATACGGAGGCTCGCTTAGGCACAGCCTATATTCCCTTCAGGGTGTTTGTGGTGCTGTGGGCAGAAGAATCCACCAAACCCGATGGCAAGAATCTGCACACAAGAAGCTTACCACAGGTTCACCGTTGCCAAGAGGAACAAGCGAATGAGGTCTCTACGTGGCAGCCGATGTAGAACTGGTCCCGAGGGACAGGCCTGAGAAGTACTCTTTGAAGCACCAAGACTTGACAAGCACTTCCATAGCACCCAAGACGACAGATGAAAAATTAAACTCCTGACTCCGAAGCTTCTATTAACATTACAAAAAATAATAGCAATGCATTCATCCACTGAAAGTTATATGTAATCATTTGAGCCTTTGGAATATGCCTGCGGGAGCTATTTGGACGGCTTGTGCTACAGCGAGAAGTTAATTTACTGCAGAAGCCAGGCTTTAAAAATGATAGGGTGGCTTTTTTATTTTCTTTGAATGAAAACGAGTGGCCTGGCACGGCAGATCATTTTATGTCAGAATTGGAGGACTTCCTTCAGTTAACTCCCCAAGGCAGCTGCAGGGAGGCTTTAACCTGTTGCCACTGAAGAATGTCAAGAGTGGTGTTAAATATGAAGCAACTTAAATAAATCCCGTTTTCCCACCTAGCTTTAACCTCGACACTTCCGCAAATGATGTGTTGTGTTTCGGTGTATTCATCCATCTGTGTTTCCGTTCACTATTTGTAAGAGCTCATCCACACTTCAGTTTGTGCTATGACAGCTCAGTTGGTAGAGTGTGAGACTCGTAATCTCAGAGTTGTGGGTTTGAGTCCCAAGTTGGGCAGAATATTCCTGCATTGCAAGGAGTTCGGCTAGATGATCCTTGTGGTCCCTTCCAACTCTACAATTCTATGATTTCTGGGTCTGAGAGGTTTTTCTACTGTCCCGCAACTTTTTCTGGGAAAACCCACTGCCTACTGCTGAATCAGAACAAACCCCAATCTGCAGATTGTTCCAATTCAGCAGTAAACAGCGGGTATTTTCTGAGGAAAACAGCAGGACAAAAGAAGAACCTCTCAGAAATCATGGGACAAACAAAAGTGTGAATGAGCCCTAAGTTACAGTCAGTTGCTGTCCTGCAATTTAGTCTTAGCATCCTCCTGAACAAAGAAAATTAATGTCCATCCAGAATTACATAACCTGCAAGCATTTTACATTTTATGAAGTCTTAGTAGTTCGAGGGAGCATTCTACTCAGAGGCTTTGTTCTGTTTCACTGTATTGTGTTTCCATCATTCAATTATTGTTATCTTTATGTTTCAGACTGTGCTATAAACTGCCTCAGGAGTTTGAAGGGCAGGATACAAATATATCCCCAAACCAATCAACCAATTTATGTGAGAGTAAGCTCCATTGTACTGTGGGACTTACTTGTGGGTGAACATGAGCTTCTGCTTTTCCAGTTATTGCAGATCAGTGATGCAGCTGGGAAGAAAAGCCTGAATTGCTTTTTGTGAGCTACAAGTCTACGGAGGTGCACACAGCTATTATCTTCTTGCGCCTGCATGCTGAGACTTCCTTACAGCAAAGTGACTCACCCAAATACAGTCGTACCTTGGTTTTCGAACAGCTTAGTTCTCAAACGTTTTGGCTCCTGAACACCTCAAACCCAGAAATGACTATTCCAGTTTGCGAACTATTTTTGGAAGCTGAACATCCAAAGGGGTTTCCGACTGGCTGCAGAAGCTTTCTGCAGCCAATCGTAAGCTGCGCTTTGGTTTCCGAACGTTTTGGAAGTCGAACACACTTCCAGAATGGATTCTGTTTGACTTCCAAGGTACGATTGTACAAGACAAGCGGTCTCCTGATGAAGGGCACCATATACCCCTAATTCATCCCTCAAAGTTTTCAAATTTGTAAAATTCCTGAATGGAACTGACATGGGTTTGAGAGTCTTTTTCTTCAGTGTGGCACAGCTGAGATGGATGCAGTTTCAGCAAACAGAAAGCCGGTTGGTTTCATCCCTGAAATGAGTCCTCAGGCAAGTAATAAGTGAGTGTAGATGCACCACTGGTAGGACTCTGCTGTGGATCGGTTGAGATGATTAGATTTATTTCTGTAGACACCCATTGGTCCAAGAAACGCGGGGCTTGGGGTGGCTTCCTAAGTAAAGGTAAAGGGACCCCTGACCATTAGGTCCAGTCGTGACTGACTCTGGGGTTGGGACACTCATCTCACTTTACTGGCCGAGGGAGCCGGCGTACAGCTTCCGGGTCATGTGGCCAGCATGACTAAGCCGCTTCTGGCGAACCAGAGCAGCGCACGGAAACACCGTTTACCTTCCCGCTGGAGCGGTACCTATTTATCTACTTGCACTTTGACGTGCTTCCGAACTGTTAGGTTGGCAGGAGCAGGGACCGAGCAACGGGAGCTCATCCCGTCACAGGGATTCAAGCCGCCGACCTTCTGATTGGCAAGTCCTAGGCTCTGTGGTTTAACCCACAGCGCCACCCGTGTCCCTTCCTAAGTAGCTTCCTAAGTAAGCTTCCTAAGTAGGATGACAAAATTAGACTGCAGCCAAGCTTCTAGCTAGCACTTGATGGTTTCCTATTCCTGCCCCTTTCCATCTTCCACCCTTAATCCCTGCACTTAACACATGAGCTACCTGCATTTCCTGCCCCCCCCCATGAGACTGATGAACTGTATACCTACTATATGAAAGTTAACAACTGGACAACAAAAAATGGATTTTACACGCTCTAATGGTAGCCAAGAGGCTGATTTTGATGAACTGGAAGAATAAAGACATGCTCTCCTTTAATCAGTGGATTGATAATATGATAACACTTGCAACCTACAAACGCACTGCTTACAGACGTAGACTCTGCTTGGATAAATGCGACAATATTTGGAACAAATATATACAAAATGTAGTAGGTTATTAATATTCACATTAGTATTAGGACAATAATATCCAATTTATGAACGAATGTATGGGTTATGGTATTTTTTTGTATATATTCATATATATTTTTCCCTTTACACAGTTGTGTGTTTTGTTCTTTTTTCTTTTTGTATCACTTTAAAAGGTAAAGGGACCCCTGACCATTAGGTCCAGTCGTGGCCGACTCTGGGGTTGCAGGGCTCATCTCTCTTTATTGGCCGAGGGAGCCAGCGTACAGCTTCTGGGTCATGTGGCCAGCATGACTAAGCCGCTTCTGGCGAACCAGAGCAGTGCACTGGTTTACCTTCCCGCCGGAGCGGTACCTATTTATCTACTTGCACTTTGATGTGCTTTCGAACTGCTAGGTTGGCAGGAGCAGGGACCGAGCAACGGGAGCTCACCCCGTCGCGGGGATTCGAACCGCCGACCTTCTGATCGGCAAGTCCTAGGCTCTGTGGTTTAACCCACAGCGCCACCCGCATCCCAGCCCAGAGGTTAAACGAGTGCAAAACATTGCTGCTAGTTTGTTGTCCTTGGCTGCTGGCTGCCACTTTTCTACTTTTTAAGCAGAGGTTGGATGGCCGTCTGTCTTGGATGCAGGGACCGAGCAACGGGAGCTCACCCCGTCACGGGGATTTGAACCACCGATCACTTTACTGCTTCATATTTGAGTCCCCCCCCCCCAATAAAATGTCTATTAAAAAAGAGAGAGAGACTGATGCAAGGTCAAGAGGAAAGCTAAGGGAAGGTGGGACGAGAATGTACCAAAGGCTGGACTCCATCATCCTTCGTCTGATCCATAAAGGCAGTCTTCCATTATCATTCTGTGTGATACACAAACACAGCAACTTACTGGTGTGTGTGTGTCTGTATGTTCTATTCTCAAACAATATCCCCATGTTTTCCTTCTACAATAAACCTCACAAACGCCGCACCCAATTAAATAGGGCTGCCCTCGTTTGTGGAATGCAGCAGCTGTAGAACTGGGATGTGTTCCCCTATCCTCCAACAGAAATATTTCCCGAAGTAAAATTATCTCATTTATGGAGCATTCGCCCTCCTTCACATCCTTTGCCAAGTAAAAAAATCTGAAAGAAGATTTCTGCACTTCCTTGACTTCAGGCAAGTCAGATAGCCTTTGATGAAGTAAGTCGTTTCGGATATAGATCAAGATAATGGCAGAAATGTTGTTTTTCAGTTCATAGAATCGTACTAGGGCTGGTAGAAAACAGAAGGTCGAATCAAAACTTCTCCCCTGAGTGGATGTCAGGCTCCCTCCCCCTCGCCCCCAAAGCCATGGCCACTTAATATTTTTTTTGTTTTGTTCCACAAATCAAAGCACATGTGTAACTCATATTTTAATAAGCGTAGTCTTGCTGTTCTAATGTGATGGATGCCCACCCACTCCTTCAGAAAAGTTCTGAGAAGTCAGGTGCATTTGTTGTCCACCTCAGTCATTCATCTTGCTTCTGTTATTTGGACTTGAGGGCAGTAACTGGTGAAAAGGGCCATAGCTCAGCCGCAGAGAATCTGCTTTGAATGCAGAATATCCCATGTTCAATTCCTAGGTAGGGAATCTCTAGGTAGGGCTGGGAACGCCCCCTGTCTGAAACCCCAAAATGCCCTTGACAGTACAGTGGTACCTTGGTTCTCAAACTTAATCCGTTCCGGAAGTCCGTTCCAAAACCAAAGTGTTCCAAAACCAAGGTGCGCTTTCCCATAGAAAGTAATGCAAAACGGATTAATCTGTTCCAGACTTTTAAAAACAACCCCTAAAACAGCAATTTAACGTTATCCATTTCCGCAGTCACACCATCAATCAATCAGTAGCTGAATTGGGTTCCATACAGTCACAGAAACAAATTAACCGGAAAAGCCTCAAAAACAAAAACGCAAAATAAATAGCAAAAACAAAAGTGTCAAGCTTAATCCTTTTCCGGAAGTCTGTTTGACTTCCAAAATGTTTGAAAACCAAGGCGCAGCTTTTGATTGGTGCAGGCGCCCCAGAAACAATAGCCGACAGCCGCATTGGATGTTCGGCTTCCGAAAAACGTTTAAAAACCAGACACTTACTTCCGGGTTTTTAGCGTTTGAGTACCAAGGCATTTGAGAAACAAGGTACCACTGTATATAGATGGCTAGATGGACCAGTGCTATTTTTCTAGAAAAAGAAGTTGCCGGAACTCACCATGAATGCCTCCCTCGTTCTCTTAGAATGGCAATGGCACCCACCTGAGAGGTGCCGGAACTGAGTTCCGGTGAGTTCTGGCTAAAAAAAGAGAGCCCTGGATAGACCAATGGTCTAAAGCAGTGTTCTCGTATATTCCTATGTAAAAATCCCCATTCTGTACAGCTAGGGGCCTGGTCAAAACAGCCTCCATCTCTGTTTTCAGAAATAAAATAAATCAATCACAGGTCCATAGACCAGGAGAGGGGGGGCGCTGGGAGGCTGTGCCCCTGGGTGTTTTTTTGTGGGGGTTTTTTTAGGGACCGCAACCAGGCGCCCCCACAACAGGGTCCTTCATCGGAACCTGGCTCCGGTGCACGAGGGAGATGCAGAGTCATAAACAGCAGATTCAAAACGATACAACATCCCTTCTAAATGTGTCGAAATCTGTCCTGGAGAAACAGTTCCAGAATTTAACACAATTTCAATTTCAGGTGATACAGCAATTTAATAATTTGGCTCGCGCTACTTGCTGAAAAAGCAGAGACATCACCTTGCCAACAAAGGTCCGTATAGTTAAAGCTCTGGTTTTCCCGGTAGTGATGTATGGAAGTCAGAGCTGGACCATAAAGAAGACTGATCGCCGAAGAATTGATGCTTTTGAATTATGGTGCTGGAGGAGACTCTTGAGAGTCCCATGGACTGCAAGAAGATCAAATCTATTCATTCTTAAGGAAATCAGCCCTGAGTGCTCACTGGAAGGACAGATCCTGAAGCTGAGACTCCAATACTTTGGCCACCTCATGGAAAGAGAAGACTCCTTGGAAAAGACCCTGGAAAATGTTGGGAAAGATGGAGGGCACAAGGAGAAGGGGACAGCAGAGGACGAGATGGTTGGACAGTGTTCTCGAAGCTACCAGCATGAGTTTGACCAAACTGTGGGAGGCAGTGGAAGACAGGAGTGCCTGGCGTGCTCTGGTCCATGGGGTCACAAAGAGTCGGACACAACTAAACGACTAAACAACAACAACAACACTTGCCGAAAACCGAGCAAGGCTGCAATCCTATGCACACTTAACTGGGAGCGAGGACGCTTTCATTCTTTAGAAAGTAACTTTTTTAAACCTCCAGAACTATCAGGATTAGAAACTATTCTAATTTTGCTGTTGAAATCTTTTATAAGAATTAGATTTATTCAGCTCTATTGCAGGGATAGGTAGGGAATTTTAGGCAGGGGAGCCCCCAACCCTAAAATCCTGACCTTGGTTCCTCCCTAGACCACACCCCCTTCCCAAGCCACGCCCCTCACCAGCCTTACTTTGCCCCTGCCTTCAGTGTTTTGACCTGGCTGGAACATATCCTCAAACTCTGATCATGCATGGATGGAGGATAGGTGAGCATGGGAAAACTAGGCCACTGTACAAAGGGAAAAGTTGCAATTTATTGTTCTGCATGGGTGCAGCTAAGGGTGGGGGGGCCAGGGAGGGGCAGCTGCCTCCCCAAATCAATAAAAATACATAGCTAACTGAGGTTCTGCCCCTTCCCAACAAAAATCCCGGCAACGCTACGCCCATGCTGTTCTGTTTTTGCTTCCGGCATTTTTATTATTATTTATTGAATTTATATACCGCTCTATAGCTGGAGGTCTCGGGGCAGTTCACAGAACAAAATCAAAAGACAACACCACAAAACACTCAATCAAAATAAAAACAAAAAAACCACATTTTAAAAGGGCATTGGATGTCAATCAACCATGCGGCCCTCAGATGGCTGCCCGAGAGGGAACGTGGCCCTCGAGCTGGAAAAAGGCTGCTCACCCCTGATCTGTTATAATATTGATGAAGCGAGCTTTCCTAAGGATGCAAACTTCAGCTTGCTATCACATTCCATGGAGTTATTGTGCCATCTCTCCTGGCAGCGAGCGGTGAATTCCTAGTAAAATGGTGTTAAGACACGGAAAGCAGGATTTTTCAGGATCCACAGCAGCGCCTGTTCCCTGATGCTCCTTCTTCTTGCAGCGCAAAATTTCGGGTTTATTCTTATGGTTTTGCAGAAGGCGCGCAGAGCACCGCACAGGCCGCCTGATTGCGACCGCGAGCGGGCGAGCCCTTCGGAACGCGCCGCAGCCAATGAGAAGCGCGTTTCATATTGATGAGCCGCCGCCAGCCAATGAAGCGGCGAGCGAGAGTCGCCGAAGTCCAGAGGAACGAGGCAAGGCGCGCCAGAACTTCTCTCCCTTTCGGAGGGCGCGCTGCTCTCTTGGGTTGCGTCCGGTGGATCGCCGGCCGGGGATCGCGCTGCCCTCGCAGGTGATCCGCGTGAGCGGCGCTCCCCTCAATTAGGGGAAGGGCTTTTAAGGCGCTGTCTCTGCTCAGGACTGAAGATCGCAGCTGCGGGAGCGGAGAGCGGCTGGGTGGGGATCACCCGGGGATCTCCATGCCCTGGCTATGGAGAAGGGGGCGCCCTGGGGAATCCTGCCTCGCCTGTGCGTGCTGTGCACGGCGCTGCTCTGGCAACTTTGGCCCTGCGGCGCCCACGGCAACTGGATGTGAGTAGAAGCGGGTGCCGAGCGGGATTCCTCATCTCCCGGGGGTGGGGTGATCGAATTGGCTGCGCCTCTCCTGCCTTTGGGACAAATGCAAGTCGTTCTCAGCTTTGCAGAATGTCTCTCAAAGATAATAGAATCGTAGAGTTGGAAAGGGACCGCGAGGATCATTAATCCAACCCCTTGCAATGCAGGAATACGCAGTTGTCCCATACGGGGATCGAACCTACAAGCTTGGCGTTATATCAGCACGGTGCACAAACAACGACGTTACCCAGGCGTTAACTCGATTCCGAGCTTTGGGCAGTTTTCACACGTGCGGGGTTTGAATCTCCCGGGTCTGTGCATAAATAGAACGACACGGAAGCGCCTTTCTTTCTTTCTTTGCACGTGCGAGGCGCGTTTATAAGGAAAGCTCTTTGGTGGGTTGTCACGCGACTTTCAAACCTTCGCCTGGTGGGCCAGGATGCTCATTCCCATAACAAATGCCGCCGCGCTAGTAAAGCTCAAAGGGGCGGTTGCATGCATAGTCATTTATGCCGATCCAAAAGGAGCTGCTTTACTAAGGAGGCTCAAAGAATCCGGGGAATCCTGTGTCTTCTTGAGAGAAGGAACGCCAAGGCAGGATGTGTGCAAATGCTCCTGAAACACCTTTTAAAGGTCCCTTTTTAAACTGGGAAATGTTAGTGCGCGATATATATATATATATATATATATATATATATATATATATGGCAGACATCGCCTGTACATTTTCACCAGGGTTGCCATTTTCCCCATCAAATAACACATTGCAAACGTAGCAACGCGGAAGGCTGATTTCATCCTTACAAGTTTCTCGGACGCCCTAGAAAGCGAACTTTTTCGATTCCTTTATTAAAAATAAATACAAACCTGCCTCCCCTTTTATAATATTCACAAATGGTGGCAGCAAGGTTTGCAGATCTATTTTGTGTGTGTTGTTTGAGAAGAACCTGAAACCCCGATTTGATTTGAAGATACGCATCTGTTTGAAACTTGGTTACATGGTCTACAATTTAGCATGCATTTATTTATATCCTATCTTTCCTCCAAGAAGCTGAAGGGTACATGCATGGTTCCCCCCCCCTCCCCGTTTTATCCTCGCAACAACCTTGCAGGGTAGGTTAGGCTAAGAAACGGTGGCTGGTCCAATGAAATTCATGGCTGAGTGAAGATTTAAAGCTGGTCTCCCAACGCTCTAAACACCAGATCACCCCTGGATGCTCTCACCCAGCATGGAATGGAGAAAGTGGACTGCGAAGCATTTCTCTCTTGCTCTGTAAATACTGGAAACCAGGGTTGTCAAATAAGGGGGGATCCAGCACACCAGTTACATGGCAACAGTAGTGGGTTTCTTGCTTCCCAGCTTCTCACGGGCATTTGCTTGGGAAAGAGAATGTCGTTGGTCTCATCCCGCAAGGCTTTTTTTAGTTGGTGCTCAGAAGATGTGTTCTGTGAAACAATTCTGCTCCTTTCACATTTGCAGAGATAATTTTGTGCTCAGGATCTGGCAAGGTGGAATCCTGCCTGGATATGTCTTGTGGTGATTAAATTAAACACACACAAATGCCATGGGTTTGGGGTGTTTGCGGGAATGTCATTAACTGCAGATGTGATACAGGCTGTTACAATCCAGTAGTCTCTCATGACTGCATTTTCCCAAGTGGCTCCAGGAATTGTGTTTGAATTATCTCATATCAGTACAGTGGTACCTCGGGTTACATACGCTTCAGGTTACAGACTCCGCTAACTCAGAAATAGTACCTCGGGTGTAGAACTTTGCTTCAGGATGAGAACAGAAATCGTGCAGCGGCGATGTGGCGGCAGCAGGAGGCCCCATTAGCTAAAGTGGTGCTTCAGGTTAAGAACAGTTTCAGGTTAAGAACAGACCTACGGAACGAATTAAGTACTTAACCCAAGGTACCACTGTATATCAGAAGGGGAAAGCTACATTGTTTTTAAAATCGCCCTTTGTTTACTATGGGAATTTCCCGGTCAAAGGGCTTTGTACAGTTTCTCAGTGACATCTATCACCTACCAAGGGACTGTTGCCGAGTTAGAAGGCCACAGTGGGGAGCCTCTAGCCCAGCCTTCCCTAACACTGGGTCTCCAGATATTGTTGGACTACAATTCCCATCATCCCTGGTAGCTGCGGATGATGGCAGTTGTAGCCCAACACCACCACCCAAGTTTGAGAAAGGGTGCCTAGCCCTTGGACCTCATTAGATTCTCTAGAACTCCTGTGGGGCCCTTTTGTCCAAGCTCACCTGCCCCACACCTGAAGACATGTAAGGTAAAGAAAGAAAAAACGGGTCGCCTGATGTCATGGTGGTGCCAGGTGATTGACAGATGGGTGACTCCACCCAGCTGTCAAATCCGGCGCTCTGGGGATATGGGAGCTAGTGATCCCTCCTGCAGGATCCTCTCAGGCAACAGTCTTGCCCTGCCACATAAATCCACGATGCCTAGTACTAACCCCTCCCTCTCCCCTCCAGTCCTAGCTTATCGTCTGATTTCAGGTGCTTCTTGTTCCACACTTATTGCTGGGGAATGTGGCATTTGGAAGTGTCATATAATGCTTTCGGAAGTGGCCCAATAAAGATTACAAGGTATTCTGAGCATCACTTTTTTTTTAAGGGAAATGCCCAGATTTATTTATTTACCTTGGAAGTCAAACGGAATCCGTTCCAGAAGTTCGTTTGACTTCCAAAAGATTTGAAAACCAAATCACAGCTTCCGTCGAACGTTTGGTTTCCAAAAGAACGTTCACAAACCGGAACAATCACTTCCGGGTTTGCGGCGTTCAGGAGCCAAAACGTCCGAGTTCCAGGGCATTCCGGTTCCAAGGTACAACTGTACTTGATTGATTGATTGATTGATTGATTGATTGATTGATATACGGCCCTTTGTCATAAGATCTCAGGGCGGTTCAAAGATTAAAATGCAGGATAAAACAAGTAAATAAGTAAAACCAAACAACAAAATAATAACACCCCCCTTCCCACATCAATCAGCCAAAGGCCTGATGAAGAGGAACGTTTTCACCTGGTGCCTAAAAATATAGAAACAAGGTGCCTGGCGAACTGCCCTGGGGAGAGCACTCCATAAGCAGGGAGCCACTACAGAAAAGGCCCATTCTCATGGTGCCACCACCTGGACATCACGTGGAGGAGGCTAAGGAAGAAGGGCGTCAGGTGATGAATGCAGAGAGGCGGTCCTTGAGGTATTGCGGCCCTGAGCCATTTAAGGCTTTATAGGTCAAAACCAGCATTTTGAATTGGGCCCAGAAACTAATTGGTGGCCAGTGCAGGAGTGCCAGGATCAGTGTAATATGATCTAACTGGTGACCATTGTTTAATATCCAGATGTCGAGGACCACAACTCCCATTGGTCTCAGCCAGCGTGGCCAATGGTCAGGGATGATGGAGGTTGTAGTCCAGCGGCATCCGAAGGACACAGCCTTGGCTACTCCCTCTGTGGGTCTTCTGTGAATTTGTATTCCTTTGACCCTCTGGTGTTTTGATAGTCCTTTCACATTGCTGGGTTGCTTGAGCCATGGCTCCTCTTTCCTGTTTTGGCTGCTCTCGTCTTACGTGTGTCAAATGAAATGTCTGGTGCTTGGGTCTCACCCCAGGGGCTGCTTTTTCAGGTGGCTGGGCATGGCCTCCTTCGGTGTCCCCGAGAAACTGGGCTGCGCCAACCTGCCTCTGAACGGCCGTCAAAAGGACCTGTGCAAGAAGCAGCCCAACCTCCTGCCCAGCATCCGCGAAGGAGCCCGCCTGGGGATTCAGGAGTGCCAGAGCCAGTTCAAACACGAGCGCTGGAACTGCCTCCTGCCGCTCGAGACGGCTTCTACGGCTTCCAACCCTTCGCCTATCTCTGCGGCTCCTGCTTCCTCCGGCTTTGGCTATGAACTGAGCAGCGGTAGGTCCTCTGGTTGGGAGGAGTGGGAAAGTGGCGGGTTTGAGACGCACCGTCTCACGTCCCATCCATGCAATGCACATTAGAAATTAGCCGGGTGCCTTTTGTGACTGGCGCGGGGCCAATTGTGACCACTTGGAGACCATGTGGCAAAGGTTCCCCGTCCTTTGCACTAATTCAAAGGTAGCCAACAATTGCCTTCCAAATGTCGGTGGTCTACAATTCCTGTCTTCCCCAACCAGCAGAACTAGTGGTCATTGTTGTTGCAACATCTTGAGGTAAAGGTAAAGGCTCCCTGGACGGTTAAGTCCAGCCAAAGGCGACTATGGGGTTGTGGCGCTCATCTCGCTTTCAGGCCGAGGGTGCCGGCATTTGTCCACAGACATCTTTCCGGGTCATGTGACCAGCATGACTAAACCACTTCTGGCACAAAGAAAACCAGAGCGGACGGAAATGCTGCTTAACTTCCCGCCACTGTGGTACCTGTTTATCTACTTGCACTGGTGTGCTTTCAAACTGCTAGGTTGGCAGGAGCTGGGACCGAACAATGGGAGCTCACCCCTTCACGGGGATTCGAACCACCAACCTTCCAATTGGCATGGCCAAGAGGCTCAGTGGTTTAGACCACAGCACCACCTACGTCTTTTAAACTAGCTGGCTAAATTAGTCCTATTTGGGCCAGCATGGAGACCAGGGGAGAATTAGCTGTGGGATCCCAGAGCGGGCAATCTTCATAAAAAGGGGAGGGGGGAGGGAAGGAAGGAAGGGGACTAAATGATCAGGCTAATTTCAAGTTGAAAGCCAGGTGGAATAGCTTTGTCTTACAGGCCCTGCGGAAGGAAGTTAAATCCTGCAGGGCCCTGGTCTCATGGGACAGAGCATTCCACCAGGTCAGAGCCATCACTGAGAAGGCCCTGGCCCTGGTGGAGGATAATCTAAATTCCTTAGGGCCCGGGACCTCTAAACTATGATTATTCATTGACCTTAAGGTCCTCTGCGGGGCATACCAGGAGAGGCGGTCCTGTAAATACGAGGGCCCTAAGCCACAAAGGGCTTTAAAGGTCAAAATCAGTGATCTCAGTACACTGGCCCCAATCCAAAGTAAGCTGGTAACACTGAAGTCCCTTTGAACTCCCTTGTGACTAAATTGCCCTGTTGATTTCGGCTGGACATAAACTGAATGAATTTCCCCAGGAAGGGGGCCAAGATTTCTCTCTCTCCTGCTGGCTTAATGGGAGCGGGCACCATTCTGGCCACAGGATAATGCTGCCAACCTTTTTGAGTGATGTTTCAAAGAGTGGTACCTTCCTATCTGGGATGGTCGGCCTCTTCCATCAAGCGTGCAGCTTTGGGAGGGAAGCACATGAGGCGGTGAGGGTGGAAGAGGACAGCCGCCTAGCCCACCATTTCAGTAGAATCCAACACTGGCGATCAGTGGGGTTACAGATGTCGCAGCCAGATCGCCCTCACATCCTAGAGATTGAATTCCAAACCCTTAGCAGCGCAGCCGACAAAACCTGTTTCCCTTTGGGGTTGGGAATTCCACCCTCGTTTGGTCAGGACACTCCGTATTTACAACAGCTTTCAATCCCCACCTACGCAGAGCTCTTTCCCTTGCAAGATTTAATATCTTGCCGCTAGCAGGTAGGTTTTCGACAATCCCATCCTCTGAAAGTCACTGCCCTTGTGGCACAAAACAGGTCGGATTCCTCACATGTGTTTTGTTTTATTTCCCAGTTTGTGCAAAAAAGTATGATAAATATTTGGCCCCCTTTTTGAAGGAGGGGATTTATCGACTCTTCCAGGGTGTCTTATCTGCTGAGCAATTGTAGAAATGACATTGTGGAGAATGTGGCAAGATTTTTGAGTGACGCCACGAAATTACGTCACCGTAGGTCCCAAGAGCCATTTTTGTATCTCACGGTGCCTGTACAGTTTCATCCAAAAGTATCTCCTATGTTTCGTTCACTCTGTTGTGTTCTGATCATGTACAGTCGTACTTGGTTGCTGAACGCCTTGCGAGTCGAACGTTTTGGCTTCCAGACACCACAAACCCGGAAGTGAGTGTTCTGGTTTGCGAACGTTCTTTGGAACCCAAACATCCGGCGTGGCATACGCGGCTTCTGATTGGCTGCAGGACCTTCCTGCAACCAATCGGAAGCCGTGCCTTGGTTTCCGAACATTTTGAAAGTCGAACGGACTTTTGGAACAGATTCTGTTTGACTTCCGAGGTACGACTGTATATGATGCACTTTTTCTATGTCGATAAAGGAGATTGATTGAATGACTGTGTCCTTCTGCAGGTACCAAAGAGACAGCGTTCATCTCGGCGGTGATGGCAGCGGGCCTTGTGCATTCCGTGACTCATTCGTGCAGCGTGGGGAACATGACTGACTGCGCCTGTGACCCCAAGCTACAGAGTGGTGGCTCAGCCAGCGAAGGCTGGCACTGGGGCGGCTGCTCTGATGACATCCAGTACGGAATGTGGCTGAGCAGAAAGTTTTTAGATGGCCCTGCGGAAAATGTCACGGGGAAAGATGGCAGCAGGCTGCAAGCCATGAACCTGCATAACAACGAAGCTGGAAGACTGGTATGGATTTGACTCCTGTCCTCCCATTCCACTTGTAATATGTAGCCAATGAATGGTAGAGGGAGACAGTTTCCTGGCTGCTTCCCCATGTCCCTGGCCTTAAGCCACCATGCCCCAAGACCTTCCATCTCTTTGACCTGCACACGAAAAGATAGCTTCCTCCGATTATGCATTCCCTGTGTGGAGCTTTTCTTTAAGAAGGGCGGTATTTAAATTTTGACAACTATTAATAGCAGCAACAATAATAACAGTAATAATAGGTTTTTTATTATTTTTGTGACTGCTGCCCCACAGCTCTTTCTCAAAATTTGAAATTTGCCTGCTGGTCCTAAAAGGTGGGCAACCTTTGCCATAGCTGAAGAGACTGGGTGCAGTTCTGTTTTGAGAAACAGCTTGGCTTTTCAGCTGCAAGAACTGTTGCAATGAAAGCAAAAACCTGAGCTCTAGTTGTGCATATGGCTCTCTCTCACTTACATGTCTGCTTATTTGTTCTTTAATCTCTGGCCTCATTTCTGAGAAGCAGACGACTCCCAAATGGAAGATGTTTAAACATTTTGGGCATTGTCATTTCATAGCCTTAGAAGCGTAGAATCTGTTGCTCGGTAGTTAACAAATGAGCGGAACGTTGCTTGATCGTGGATTGTTTTGGTCTCAACTTTTCCCCAGGCCGTCGCAAAGCTGATGACGGTGGATTGCCGTTGCCACGGAGTCTCGGGCTCCTGCGCTCTCAAGACGTGCTGGAAGACTATGTCCTCCTTTGCAAAGATTGGCAGTCTTTTGAAAGAGAAGTACGAAAGCAGCATCCAGATTTCCGACAGGGCGAGAAGAAAGATACGCAGGAAAGACAAAAGGCAGCGGAAGATACCGATCCGCAAAGAAGATCTGCTGTACATCCACAAGTCCCCCAACTACTGTGTTGAAGATCCCAAACTGGGAGTCCCCGGGACGCAAGGAAGGGAATGCAACCGTACTTCCGAGGGGCCGGATGGATGCAACCTCCTGTGCTGCGGCCGCGGTTACAACACACACGTCGTCAGGCAAGTGGAGAGATGCGACTGCAAGTTTGTTTGGTGTTGTTACGTACGCTGCAGAAGATGCGAGACCATGACTGATGTCCATACTTGCAAGTGAAACCGTACCTGCCCTGAAAATAGATGACGAGAGAGAAACCCTGAGAAGTAGCCTTCTCGTGGTCCTGCTAAGGAGGCGTCTTGAGATGAAGAGCCTTGGGGGCCAAAGGTGTTGGTTTGTATCGAAAGGGCAGCTCGGAATAAGTAGAGGCCCCATTTAAAACTAATAGTAGTGGAGATCTGGATCATCTGAAGAATTTTGCCTAGCTGGGTGGCCTACTGGAGCGACTTGTGTCCATGATCGCCGTGAATAGTCAGTATTTTGATTAGTGAAGTCGAGGTGGACATCTTTGACAACGCTGGACACGCACAGTTCTCAAGGCAGCCAGAAGAGCTTAAATGAAACATTTGGAGGCTACAGTGAGGCCTGGTACGAGATAAGCTGATCCCATGTATTAAGAGTACTCTGTTTATTGAGACCTCTGGGAGCAAAGGATTACCAGCAGTTGTACGGCTGTTTGCTTAGCTAATCAAATGTTAAGGGTAAGACTGAGATGTTCATGAGTTAACCGAGCCGAGTCTAAGATGGGTTGAATAGCTTTCTTGGGCAGATCTGGACCTTGGCGCTGGGAGTACACGCCAGTTAAAGTGAAATGCTGTGTAGCTGCGACCTCCTGGTGGTTTTTAAAATTTTTAGTTGTGCCTTCTCCAGTGCCATTAAAAGCTTCATTGAGGAAAAGGGAGAGAAATGGAGCAGCTTTGTGGGAACATTGTGGTGTCGTTGCTTAAGGCATTCTCATTCCTCTCCCCCCCCCAACCAAATTATGCTGATTATTTTTGTTTTGCGATGTGATGCTCTATTCTTTTTATGGAAATGTCTCCCATATGCTATTGCTAAACACACCTGTCTGTGACTATAACACACCAGTGTGCTATGAAAACTATGGTGTGTGTGTCAGCGAATTTGGCGCATGTTCCATTGACTGGAGGATCATCACTCCATGATGGATGGATGCATTTTCTCCCTTTAGATCTTTCTGGCCACCCTGCAAGAGTCATTTATTCCAATCAGGTTAATCAATATCTTGTTTCTTTGGCACAGTCGTTGTTTCCTAGTCATTGCAAGTATGGTCAGTCAAAAGTGGTTTGCCAGCTCGGGTGGAAGAAGGAAGGGGGTGACTTGGAGTTCATTGTGGTGCAAATGGACTAGCAGGAGTACTGGATCAACTCCTTTGGTGTCTTTGCACAACAATGACCTCGCCACCACCTCATCCCTTCCTCTTGCGCCGAAAGCCACTTCTGTGGCCAATGTTGATAAACCGATAAGTTTTGTGAGTCCGGATCTACTAGATGGCATTGGAGCTCCGTCCAATAAAATGGTTAATCTGTAGATTTATTCATATACTTGAGGCAAGGAAAAAATGGGCTTTGCAAACTTCAGAACTTGCTTGCAAATTTTGGGCAACGTTGGCTATTCAATGAGCATGCATCCTGATTTGTTTGCACAGAGGTTAGATGACATTGCGTCGCAGCAAGCATTGTCCCATACTTTCTATCAAGTGCCCTTTCCTGTCACTTTCCTTACTGCAAAAAGTCTGTTCTATTGGGGGAATGGCTTTTGTTGCAGCAAACCTTCCAGTCAGCTATAATGGCACAGCCTGAATTTGACAGTTTGTGATGGAACCCCACCCCCAAATAGCAACAGTCTGGAATTGCCCCAAGTCCTGTTGAAGTGAGAGGGGTGAACTCCTGATAGACATACAAGATTGCACTGTTACTATGTTTGCTTCAATTATGCTTTCTGGAATTTTCTAGGAGAACACTGGACCAACCTTTAATGGCCTCACTTTCAACACAACTCTTAAAACAGAGGCTCTAGGAAAGGTGAGAGGAACACAAAATTATCCTCTTGATTTAGTTTTTCAGGTGTTTGCTGATGTGCCTTTGGTCTTACGGGAAGAAATGTCTTAGAATCATAGAATTGTAGAGTTGGAAGGGACCACAAGGGTCATCTAGTCCAACCCCCTGCAATACAGGAATATTTTGCCCAACATGGGGCTGGAACCCACAACCCTAAGATTAAGAGTCTCTTGCTCTGCCATCTGAGCTGCTAAGGCAGATCAACTCTTTTAATCTGGTTCACCAACCTACTGATTCTAAATTACCTTGGCTCTTCTAGCTTATCTAATATGGATGACTTGAGGCTGTTATTCCATTTACATGGAAGTAAGGCCCATTCTGATTAGTCATGGGTAAAGTTGTGCTGTGAAAAAGGCAAGTCAAGGCATTTCTGCTTTGTGAATGGTGCCATTGTTTCTAAGGACATTGTCCAACTGGAGCATGTCTTGCCAGTCAGAAGTTCAGCAGTTCGAATGTGCGCAACAGGGAGCATGTCTACAGGAGGGTTGACCTGGTGAGGGATCTGGAAACCAAGTTCTGTGTGCAATGCGTTGGGTAAAGAGTTGGGTATGTTTTGCTTGAAGGAGTGATGATTAAGTTCAAGCCTTCAAATATCTGAAGGGAGACAGAACAGGCTTCTTCCCCACTGTTCCAAAAGATGGGACTAGGATCAGCAGTGAGATTGCAGGGAAGGAGATTTCGGCTAAAGTTTTTAAGGGAAGCCTTTCTTAAGAGCCATTCAATAGCAGAATATGCATTCTCAGACAGTCGTGGGCTGTCCATTGCTGGAGGCGTTCAGTCAGAGGTTCAAGCAAATATTTATGGTGTTGTTTGATCCTGCAGTGCAGATCTTGCCTGGACCAGATAACCTCTATGTATCATAGAATCACCACCAATGAACCACAGTAGGTTAATCTGTTGCACAGCAGGAGCAGCTCTGAATTGAATTTTAAAATTCAGTGAGATGGTGTGGGACTTTTATCTAAAAACAGCAGAAAATCTGATTATATAGGTCTGTTGTGCATGCTTTCCTGGATCATGGCTTCTGGTTGTTATGGGGAGAGATGTGTGAGGGGAAAGTGTTTCTCAGGTGGTGAACTTTTTGGCTCTGCAGATTCTTACTGGATCAAACTTCACAGGTGGACAGGGCTGCCCACCCGTCAACACATGACCTCACATTGATGTCAGGTAGTTGGGTGCTTTGAAGCCCCAAAGTTAGGACTTCAAAGCACCGTGCAGGATTTGCAAAAGAGCTTTGCATGGTGTTTTCACGCTCCTCGAACGTTACCTTTACCCATTAGCTGATGGGTGGCAGTTCCAAAACCTACTGCATCAGCTACTACAGGAGCAAGTTCCACCTAGGAAACCTCTTTGCCAGTACACAATCGGCTTGCTCTAAGGCTCCTAATGGTGCATTGAAAGCCACATCTCTACCTGCTACAACCTGATGTCACATATGTTGGGGGGGGGCAAGTGAGTGTGGATCGAGGAAGACAGTCTTGCGCTCCAAATTTGAATCCCTGTTGGGCCACCCTGCTTTAATGGCTAGTGGTCCCCTTCCATCTTCCAGAGCTGGCAGCTGACTGCCCTGTTTGGTGTTATGCATTGGCCTGTTTTGCTGAATCATGGGCGGTTTCGTGGAAAGATCTCATTGATTTGAATGGACTTATTTGCATCTGGTTATAATCTCTCAACTGGTTATCTTATATGCTGGCTTAGCCACTCAGCTTGGCTCATAGATCTACTTAGCCCGAGCAGTGTTTTGTCAACATCAGCACTATTGACGGGAAGAAATGCTGGCGGAATTGGGCAAGCCTCGAGTTTCAGCTCAAAAGCAGAATTTTTATTAGCTCTTGCAGATCTTGCTTTGCAGCCACTGTGTGGTACATAAAACCCTAAATGTTATGCACATGTGGGTTGGCTTCCTGGAACTGCTGGAATACATATGCACATGAAACCCACTACTTAACCCGGCTCATTCCTGTGCTTGCTTGTTCTGATCCTATCGAGTTCAGTGGTTTTGACTCCCAGCTAAGCATGCCATAGGGGTGGCAGCCTCAACAGTGTCTTTCGGGACTGATTACACTTCCGCAAAAATGAAGGGTGATGTCATGGTAATTATTATGTAAATGGAAGCTTTGAAGGAAAGCATCTGTGCTTAAATGTCTTGTATTTTTGATACGACTAAAAGTTTATATAGTGCATGTATTTAAGTTATGCGTGCTCGCATCCAGTGTTTTATTTAAGCCTGTTAAATTTCTAGAACTGAGAGAAGCTTTTGCTGGTATTTCGTGCATGGCTTCTCAGCAGCAAGTCTGAGATCAATGAGACTTCTTCCCATGCAAGTGTGTGTAGAACTGGCAGTGTGGTTATAGGGTTGGATCCAGAACTAATCATGCTTAGACTGAAATCGGTGGGAACTTAAATTAGTCACAAGCAACTTAGATTCCATTGATTCCAGCCTGAAGTATGGTTAGATCTGGATTCTACCCCTTTGTCTTTGATGGTGACAAGCTTAATCTTCCCCATTTGGTAAGGCGGTTTTTAGATCTTTTATAACTCATCACATGTGTTTGAGAGCAGAGGTACAGGCAGCTCACGTGGCATCTGCACAGAGACTCAACAGGAGAATGAGTAAGATTATTGCAGGTGGAGCAACTTAATGGGGTAGCCAAGCAACTTCCATCTAATATGCTTAATTTTTTTAAGGTGCTGTATTTCATTGCTTTATACTTAAAATATGACCATGTTCTTTCATATTTGTTAACTGAATAAAAAATTATTTATTGTTACCTATGCATCACTCTTGAAGTTCAAGCCTTAGGCAGGGCCATCTGCAAGGGGACGCCTATACATATAGGCTTTCCCTACACTGAAACCCTAGTTGGTTCCAGAACGCAGGGAGGTTTTGTGGCACTGAAAAACCTATGCTTAGAAGGATTTCCCTGGCAGATGTCCGTGGCTAGCATGCTTTGCACAATGTATGCATGAAGCAGCTCCAGTGTGGCTTTCATGCTTCCTGATCCCAGGGATCGACATCCAAGAGCTTGCAAGCATCAAACTCCCTTTTCAAAGAGATTGGGTGGATTCTCAGCAGAGCTGCAGCCAATCAGGACTTCCTGCTTTTAGGGATTGATGCCTGGGTTTGTCGCGTTTGTGCTTCACCTTTCTAAGGCAGGCATTCAGCATCTTTGCACACCAAGTAAAAACATGGGCTTCTGGCGGAGCCCATAAAACTTTTGGTCGTGGGTTTTAAAAACTTTATTTGATGAAAAAATATAATACTCGGAAATGTGGTTTTATTTCTTCTGAACATGAACAACAAATCTGCATGGTATTTACAAATAATTGCCTTGACTGTTGAGGGTGCATTTTATTGCTAGACTACAGTAAATTGCTAAGAAGAAGGGAGAAAAAACATGGTATGAACAGGTTAAAACAGTAAAGCAGCTCAGATTCCAGTCACCAGCTCTTAGTTTGGAAAGTTGGGTGGCTCTTCTGAACTATTTTTAAGCCATAATTATCAGTATTGCTTTAATATCTTTAGTGCAAACAATATTTGATTAGTCCAACTGCAACTCTCAGTAACCAAGTCAACTGCTTGGTTTTAAAATGCTCCTACTGTCGGGGCGGGGAAGGTTGGCTAACCCTATCTGCCAACACAGCGCAGACTTGACAAGACTGTACACAGAAATATAACTTGCTCCCCTACAGCAAACACACCATCAAAATTATATTACACTTTGATAAGGTCTCTAAGACCAGTGGGGGGACGGGACGGTAGTTGTAGCTGAATTGCATCTGAAGGGCTGCAGGTTCACTGCCTCTGAGTTGTGTACAAGTCTAAAAAAACCCCACCCAAATTGGAACCCCAGTGGAGGACTGGAGAAATTAGCACCACTGCAGCCCGCCCCCCCCACTACAAAGCAGAACCCAAATGGCCTGAGTCACTTATAGGAACACTGGGCCCACAATTCTCACCAAGTACCAGCAAGTTGTGGAAGAAGCTTGTCTTTCTGCTTCCTGGAGGTGCTTTTTGGGGGGGGGGGGCGGGCAGCAGGAAGAGAAGGAATGGGATTTTTTTTGTGGGGGGGACAAACACTCTGTTGATTCCAGCGATTGCCAGAGGTGTGCACTGTGCATGTAGAGCCCTTTAGAGCCTAGTAGCAAAAAATGTGGCACATGGATTTTCCAAACCATCAGTACCGATAGGATGCACACACCTGCCAGGGGGTGATGAAATGCCCCATAAACGAACATCAAATATCCTTAAAGATGTGGTCTGCCCTTTTAAACCCTATCGTTAAAACGGGATATTCAATTGGCAACATTTTCAGTCCTATAATATAGATGTGCTCCGTAAGAGTTCCCTTCCCCAAAATATTCAACCCCTTTCCTCAATTTTTTACTTGTAGGATAGGTAGCAAAACTGCCCAGATTAGCTGATGCGTGCGGAGTTTAATTCCTAATAGAAATTAAGTCTACTTTTTAACATGCAATTGCTTGCTTCCAGAATAACACTAACTGCCAATGGTGGGTTTCTCTCCAATACTATCTTAAGCAATTGGCGTGGTTGGTGGTTTATAGAACTTTAAAAGATGTCTAGCTGAACACACACAGACACAAAGCAACTACATTATCCTGCTCTATTAGCAGTACGTTTTGCTAACCAGAAGCATGGGCCACAGATAATCTAACAATAGCAACGAACGCAATGATATAACATTGGTTTTCATTTTAAAAGGGTTTAATTGTGCTTCTTATAGCAGCCTACAATTTTGTATTCAACACTCAACCTTCACCTATCTGAAGGTTTGAAAAGGAGGAGGGATCACAGAAGAATGCGGGTTTCAAAGAGGCAGAGCATAAATGTGAGTTCGCATTTTTGGCTAAGGTTGGCATATCCCACTAGATATGCACTTGCAGCCAACGTCACCATTGTTTGAGCAAATTACAACATAGCTCAGGATCAGTTCAGTTATTTATTGGGTACATTTAATGGCCTATGCTGGTAGTTCTAAAAGAGATTTACCATAAAATAACCTGAACATTGTGCTTTGGGGGGGGGGGGGAGTAAAAGAAAAGCAAGTAAGGATAGGAGGAAGATGCTTAGAAAGAGCAATTTCCTCGGTCTGGGCCTATGTACACATTTACACCAAAAGAAGGTTCTCCGTTTTGACAATAAATAAATCGGATTTTCAAAAATGTCAATGCCCATGCACATTCTAAGGTGGAAACATGCTTGGAGAGTATTTACATGGGGCACAATCTGGCCGGATAAATCCCTGCACAAGCCCCATTTAAAAATGAACTGCGCGATTCACCATGCTCATTTGCTCAGCTCCCATTCATTTTTATGGGCCTTGAGCGAGATACTAGCCTGGATGGGATGTGCCCATACATAGTAATTCTTCTTCCTCCATACAAAGTATTCTCTACCCAACAGCAGCAGAAAGTGCATTTTCCCTCCAATGTCCTTTTGCACTGTAAATGTCCATTTGACGATGCCTTCAGTCCAGCTTCTGTGGAATGCAGCCTTCCATCTCCACGACCTCTGGCCATCCTTCATACTTGTTTGTGTCTTTGTTGTTCTTAATATGCTGCAAATGGGGGGTGGAGGACAATTGGAACAGTCAAAATACTAAAGCGATTACTGGCTTCCAGCAAGAGACCCCATACATTTACGAAATAAAAACTTTTTTACATCGTCTCCTTTCATCTACTGTGATCTTGCAAATATATATATACATAACCACGTATGTCACAATTTGTATAATAAGGCTTACTCTACTTCCTGTAGAATAGCCCCAACATGTCTGGAAGTGAGCTATTAAGACGGTAAGATACCTAGTTAAGCTATCCTTGGTCAAAGGCTAAACATTTATTTTTAAAATCTATATTCTAGCCTTCCATTTTGTTTTTTAAAAAAACGATAAGGAAGCAATTGTGGAGCAAACACTTTAACTTGCTGATGTGCCTGAAACATGAAAGGTAGAGGCTTTTGGAAACTTGTGTGTAACAGAACTGAATTAAACGTTCCAATTGCACCAAATGAAAGGGAAAATTCAAATCAACGCAGATGTTATAACAGCAGTTGCAAGTTTGCATACATTTCTACAGCTCTGCAATACAGAAGAAGAGGAATGTGCTCTGAAGCTAATTTTCAGAGCCCGCAGATATGATCTAGGAAATGCAAAAACCGTGAGTGTTATCTGAGATGTTCCTGTATCTGTTACAGAAACGGCAAGTTCCAACTTCCCTCGCAGGGTGAACGGTGGAAATTCAATGTGCTTTTGGATTGCGGCAAAAGGTATTACTGAGACTTCTTGCAGCAGAGTAAGGTGTTTAAAATGCTGGGATGGCAGAACAGGAGACAGCATTTCATTCTGCAGGTGGAAACCACTCAGTGTTTCCCTATATTAAACACTTCCTGCAAACAGAAAGGCTGCAAAGCTGAAACTTCTCTCTCTTAAAGTGCTGGATTTCTAGTTACAGGAAGGTTGGTTGGTTTAATGTGCAGAAACATTAAAATGGGCATCCTCTGCCTGCAGTCTGAAGCAGTGCAGTCCTTCCTATCATCTCAGGATTCTACAAGCACGTTCATTCTGCTGCCTGCGGAGGCCAAGGTACGTCAGCTGTGAGTCTTGGACTCCACATGGCGCTTCCAAACGTTAACCTGAGAACAAACCTGTTCAAATGGGCTTTTAGTCTTGATTCCTTTCCCGCCGCAGAAGACCCAGTTGTCTCTGAAGCCAAGGTTCGTGATGGATGTGCTTCCTAGTTCAGATATTAGTTTCCGCGATTCTTCGTTGAGCCTTGGAAAAGATTCAAAAGGATTAATATACAAATGAACTGATAAGGTCCTGGCTGTCTAAACCATGGGTTGCCAATGGGTTGGCTTCTGAGTGCGCAACTTTCATCTGCCACAACTAGCATGACAAGATGTCAGCGATGATGACAGCAGCAATCTCTGGGGGGTAACACTGGCTGTCTGCGATCTACGCAACTGATTCAAATAACCATTCTGATTTGTGTGCCATTCGAGTTGTGTTTACTTGGGCAAAACGGTACAATTCAAGTCCAGTGATGCCTTCACTTTGATACAGATGGATGCTATTGGATGCCAATGCTTTAAGATAAACTTCCATGGCCATTGAAGAAAAATATGTATTTCATCTACCGTATATACTCGAGTATAAGCTGACTTTTTCAGCACATTTTTTATGCTGAAAAAGCCCCCCTCGGCTTATACTCGAGAGAGTGTCCTTTCGGGCTGCTCCTTCCTCCTCCGCTGCCGCCACCACCAGGTTTGTGGTGTGGTGAACCGGCTTATACTCAAGTCAATACGTTTTCCCAGTTTTTTGTGGTAAAATTAGGTGCCTCAGCTTATATTCGGGTCTGCTTATACTCGAGTATATACGGTAATTATCCTAGCCTCTCTCGGGCCACTACCCCTTCTCCTTGCTCCCAGCTGTAAACTTCAGAAGCATAGCCTATTCAAGGGCAAATGCATTGAAGTTCTCATGCATTTTCCTAGTCATTTTGCTTGATTATATAGCTAGATCAGGCCACGGACCTAATTAGATCCACAAGGTCCTTTTCTCAAAACCACAACTACCAGGCCCACACCTGTCATTGGAGAACAGTATACAACAGGAGGCTGAGTTTGGTCAGAATCAAATGTACACTTCCAGAGTTAATGCTAAATACGTTACTGGTAAATGAGTCACCATAGCATGAAAATTTGGGTCCCGGGCTTTTCAGACTTTTCAGACCATGTGGGTCATCTAGTCCAACCCCCTGCAATACATGAATTTGCATTGGTTGCAAAATGTGGTTATTATTTTTCCTGCTCTCCTACCCCACTACCTTGATCTCATGCTTTGGCAAAGTGTATCCTCTCCTCCCCACAAATGCTTAGGCTCAGCCGCCTCCTACAGATTGTGGAAATGGCCTTAGGAGTGTCAAACATTTGGAGAAATGGTGTCCTCCACTGCTACTACAGCAACTGACAAGACATTGCTGCCTTAGTCCTTAGCCATATGACTGATTCCCTATGTGTAAACAACCCTCTTTTTTTGGGTGGTCTTAGCAACTGCTTACTTAGTTGCGCCATCATCGTAGGTTGCCATTAATACGATTGTTCCATCTTTAATGGTCTTCAGAAAGTCAATAAGCGGGGCGACATCTAAATGAAACAGAAGTTTAGCACAACACAGTCACAATCGCATGCAGTGCTAAAATTTCTACATTGGACTTCCTTTCAAAGAAGTTATGCGATGGAAAATAGCAATGTTGCTGGGATTAAGAGCCCAAACTAATTTATGTTTAAGAATTACCTCTGAATGTTCTTTGCAAAATTTCGATGCCATGTATTTGCAGACTGCTCAAAATTTCTATTTCTGGCGTTTCACAGTAGTGATAGGTGACATGCCATGGTGTTTAGCATTTGATGATAATGACAGCCAATATGCAATGGTATATGCTAATGTTTTTAACTTCCTGCAACCGGGGAATGCTATCCGCATTTATTTGTCTACTATGGAACTCCTGCACGCCAATTACAAAAATCCTACTGTAGCTACCGTAGTGATGAACATGTAGCATCCAGATGTTGCTGGAACCCCATTGGCCCCAGCCAAAAGTAGAGAGGTGTAGTTCAACAACATCTGGAGGGACACAGGTTCCCCAGCTGTGATCTTCTGGGTGCACTTTCTAGGTGCACACTCCATTCTAGTTCTTTCCATTTCCCGCTGTGGGCTGAGAGTACCCCCGTAACACACCCAGCCTTTTGCTGTGTGGATTTCAGAAGCATGGATGTTGTTGGACCATTTATATACCGCTCGTAGTTAAACAAAACTCTTAAGCGGTTTACAACATCGGTTAAGACATCTCAAATAAACAGCAAATAATACCGAAACAAAAAAGAGACAATTTCTACGTTCTAAAAAACTTAACTAAATAGAACATCCTCGTCAGTAGCAAAATCAACACTGCCACATAAAAATCAGCTGCGAAAAAAATGCAAGGAAAATCCATTGTAAAGGGCTAAATCCAAGGATCCTCTAAAGATCAGGAAGCAAAATAATTAAAAATGAAAATAAGCTAAAAAGTGTAAATTTCACATTTTAACAAACAAACAAACCTGATTCGCAATGAAGCAAATCAACTCATTCTTCCCCACCCATCAATCAATCAATCAATCAATCATGCCATTAAATGAATCAATCCAATTAAATGTCCAGCTCCCTATTCAGCAATCTGCACAAGCTAAAAACGCAGAGATCATTCAGTTTCGCTCACACACCTGCCAGCATATAACGTATTTGATAGCTGATGGGAGATTTTATATTTCAGGTCTGCAAACAACCTAGCAATGCCAACAAGTTTCAAATGTCTAGATTCTGAGATTATTATTATTTTTAAATCAAAATGCAATTTTCAATTCAAAGTTCTTCTTTCAACATCTGAGTGGGAAAACTCAACTACTTTCATTTTATACTGATTTTTTAATATAAGAAGCAAGTATTCCAGCACTTACCTCCACCCCACATGTCAAAGAATTTTGTATCCACCATGCTACCTGTTTTGCCTAGAAAAGGATTAATAAGTAAGTTTAACGGAATAGCACGCTCAAAAATTGCTACAGATAAAGTGAACAGATTTTGCTCACATGGAAGCTGCAAACAGCCCCTTCAAAAGGCACTGCACTGTTGTGCTTATAACAAAGCAATGTGGGCTTTTAACACAGCTGCCAACCAGCAGCAGAATCTGCCTCCATCTTTGGCCACTGCTTGACTTTAGCCATCACCAGCAGAGGCCACGAGTGATTTCCACATTTTTAAAGCTAGTGATTATCAGAATGTTAAAAGCCATTACACACAACTTTGGCTAAGCTTTCGGCTAATGTCCTCCTCCACTGAAGTTGTCCTCCAAATTAGTTGTTTTTTCTTTAAAAAAATATAATACTGACAGATGCAAGTTGTCATTTTGTAAAGATTTTTAATAAAGTTATCAGGGTGGTCTGCTTACAACAGGGATGCAGTGCTGGATTTAATCACAGTGTACACACAAAGATTAGATTATGTTTGGGGACAGAAATGTGAACTCCTATTGGCCAACAGTTTCATTAGCAAACCAAAATCACCGTGTAGACTACGAAAATCCACAACCAGAACTGTTTTAGAGTTTCATGAAGGTTTTAAGAAGTAGGTAATTAGCAGGAATACCCCCCAAACTCTGCCCATTTGGGGCTGGACTGCTAGAGGACAACATCCTAGGAAGCAACGGGCAACAGTTCAGCTCAGAGTCACCCAAGTTATTAAGGTTTTTGCAAAGGGTGATGGCAGCAACCTCTTTCTGGAATTACTTCTAATGACTTCAACAAGTACAAAAAGGCAAGCGCGTACTAGGATCCAATCAATTTTTATAAGTTTTACTGTGATTTTGTTTCAGTGCTGTCGGCTGCCATGAAGGAAGGAGCGAATAAAACCTTTCAGTTAACAAAGCGAGAACCAGCGCCAGCCAGACCTTGTATTTTTCATCTCAAGGAAATAGTCAATACAAAAACACTCTTTTTCCAAGTGTAGATCTGTATGTTGGCAAAATGGTGCCATCCACACACAAAAAAGGGAGGTTATCAGTAGCATAACCTCCCCCCCCCAAAAAAAAATGAGAACTGGGCATGTTCTGTGGGGAAAGCAGGGGAGGGAATGATGGTGGGGGAGTGGAAGGGAATTATTCTGGAAGGACCCTGAATAGGACCACTCTATGCTGCAACATTTAGTTGCAGATCACGCTAGCCACTTTTGAAAGTTACCACTGACTGTTCATTTGCAGCTAGATCCAGTCATTCCAAATGTGAAATTTGCCTTCTATTATGATTAATTCTCCGTGCCAACATTCAGGCTTCCTTACTACTTGCCTGGAAATAATTGGAACGTTAATATAAGAATGCTGATACGGTTTAAAAACCCCAAACCAGTCACTTACCATTGACAAGAGCTATATTAATCCCTCTTCCAACGTTGTTTTTAACTCCACTCATCAACCTGAAACGAAAACCGCAGAGAAAGGGAATTATGACAAACTTTCCCCCTCTCCAACTCCCCGCTGCCAACTGGAGGTTGTGGAGAGTACAGTACACTTTCTAACGACGTCCTGTAAGAAATGTGAACTTCTCCCCTCTGGGCTAAATGAAATTTGCACACCTTACTGCTACAGGAAATGTTGGCTCTTTTCCCATCATCACTTTAAATTATTACAGATGGCAGACAGCATAACAAATTAGACTGTGCATCTGATCTAACATGCAAGAGGAGTCTACCCAGGGTCTACTATGAAAAGCTACAATTCAGGGAGACCAGTTATTCCACTGCCAGCAGTGAGACACATCTAGCCAATCTCAAAATACACAGCTTTAACTAACACACGTTCTTCAAGTTAAGCAATTCCGACTAATTAACCCAGCCCATGTCCCATTTCTGGGAAAACAGAACCTCCTATTATTATAAGGAGAAGAAAAACATGCACCATCTTAATCAACTTCCTGTTAAACAACAGGTCCATCTACAGAGCAGCTTTTCTGGCACTATCTTACAGAGCATAGAAACTGAAACAAGAGCAGGGCTATAGAAGAGAAAATACTCTCGATATGGCCTTTGCTGGGTTATGGTTTGGGTTCAGCACACATGATGTCCTTTATGGACCATCAGATTGTCACAGCAGAACAGCATTTGTGAGCCAAGTATTGTATTTCATTTTTAAGATACAGGTGTTGGGTTTTGGTTTTTTTACCAATTCTGTCGTGAGTTAGCTACTGTGATGCATAGGATTTACCACAAGGGGGTAGCAACGCATCACTTTAGGTTTCCTGCTGAAGTGTTGGTAGAAAGGATTTCAAGGTCTGAAATTCTATTCAGAGTGTATGATTAACACTGCGTTTGTCAAACGTGGGTCCCCAGCTGTTGCCAGACTACAACTCCCATCATCCATAGCTAGCAGGACCAAGCGGTCATGGATGATGGGAGTTGTAGTCCCAACAAGAGCTGGGGACCCAAGTTTGAGAAACAATGGATTAATGCACAGTTAAGAGCCAGATCTGAAAGAAGTCCCCAAGCTGCAAGCCTTAAAAGGGACCCTGCAGCCCTGCTCAGCACAGCCTGAATGCCATCTTAACTTATGAAGCAATGGAGGAAGCATTTAAAGGAGGACATCAACCTCATCGGATACATCAAGAAACACTTCCTCTCCTGGTTCATAAGTCCCTCAGATGTCACCTGAGCTTCCAGATCACAACTCTGGCCTTTGGATACGTAATCTAATCTTGCAGTGAAATAAATCCATCTGGAAGCTTTGGAGCCAGCTGACTGGTTGGGGTGAAAGGGCAAAGGAGCAAGGAGGCCAAACAATGGCTCTAGAAGTTTTGAGAGAAATAGTGATTGAAAGAAGAAAACTCTTAATATGAACATGCACAAGAATGCAAGACCAATTTGTTCTTTCCAGTAACTCTCAAAGTTGAAAGATGAAAGCAGATGACAAGGGTCTCCAGAGAAACTGGGCCAGAAATACACCCCCACCGAAAAAGTTTGGAATATATCCAATTAAGATCCATTAAAAACAATGGGCCTAAGTTAGTCATGTTCATTAATTTCAATCAGTCTACTCCAAATAAGGCTAGCATTGGACTGGCAGGGCTGAGCCCTTTCGGGATGGTGGTGTATACAGCAGAACAGTAAGGAGACCATGCAAATATTTGGCATGGGTGTTAATCACTAGAACAAATCCATCCTTAAACCTTGACATTATCTCCAGCATTCCATAGTAAATTTGCATCCAGGATACAAAAACACAGGCGACTATGGACAGCTTAGGTTTCATCCTGGTACATTATAAAGCAGAGTATGAGACTGACTAACTGCACTAGGGAAAATGGCCTGTACGGAGCAAAAAAATCTGCAAAAAATATGTTATTTTGCTGGATACTAATCTTACAGAAATGGACTTTGAGTTTTGTATACTTAAGTGGGGGTGGGTGGGGAAAGTTCTGCTACTGACCCTGATGATGAGTTGAAGCCACACGGAGGAAAGCGGCTGCCCCATAGTCACAAATGCTTCTAATCTTACAATGCCATTTTAATCACAGTAAAAAGTGACAAAACCTAACCTATTACTAAACATTTGCGGCTGTATCCAACCGTGTCACTCCGCTGATGGTTAAGGAAGGCTTTTGTCAGTGGAAAGGGGCAGGAAGCCATATCTGGCAATTCCTTCTTCCCCCAAGTCCTCCCAGGTCCCCCTTAAACCTCCAGAGGGGTGGGAGGACCCTCTTAAACGGCGGTTCTCAACCTGTGGGTCCCCAGAAGTTGTTAGACTACAACTCCCATCATCCCTGAGCTCTGGCCTTGCTAGCTAGGGGTGATGGGAGTTGTAGTTCAACAACACCTGGGGACCCACAGGTTAAGAAAGGCTGCTCTTAAAGGACCCTTGGACAGTTAAGTCCAGTCAAAGGCGACTATGGGGTGCGGTGCTCATTTTGTTTTCAGGCCAAGGGAGCAGGCATTTGTCCACAGACAGCTTTCTGGGTCATGTGGCCAGTATGACTAAACCGCTTCTTAGTGCAACGGGACACTGTGATGGAAGCAAGAGCACATGGAAACGCCATTTACCTTCCTGCCACAGCGGTACCTATTTATCTACTTGCGCTTGCATGCTTTCGAACTGCTAGGTTGGCAGGAGCTGGGACAGAACAACGGGAGCTCACCCGTTGGGGATTCGAACCGCCGACCTTTTGATCGGCAAGTCCAAGAGGCTCAGTGGTTTAGATCACAACGCCACCCGCGTTCCTGGAAGGACCCTCTAGACTAGAGCATGTTGAGAGGAGATGCAGGAAGAAATGCCCAAATCTGCACCCTTCTCCATTCTGCCAACCAAGACCTGACAGCCAAGACTGGGTAAAACCCTTTGCAATTAAAAGAGTAGCCTCCAGCTTGACGTCTTATGACGTTATCTTAATAGAGTGCAGTTATGTGAAGCATGTGGAACATACATGCATTAACATTCATAACCACAAGATACCCATAAATTTTATTGTTTCCACTTTCTGTGCTGCTGGTTTGGCATATCAACACACAACTGCAAGAATGGATGTGGTTGCTTAAAAACAAAGAAAGACATGCTTCATGCACCCTTCTCTCGCACCATGCATTTTGGTGCCAGAAACACCAGCTCTTCCCATTTTCCCTGGACTGGATCAGATATTGTTTATTAAGAAATCTTATATCCTGTCAATCCAATGTAAAACAGCGGCCAAGGCACTTAATTACATAAAAAAATCCAGCACTGAAACAATTTTTGCGCCGCCAAAAACATAGAAGAATAAAGACAAAGGCAGCCAGCATTAAAAATCGAACTAATGAAAGCTGCCCCACCTCCTCCTGTATTTGTAATTTAAATTATCAGAAAAGAAAAGAAAGTTTTTTTCTGTAAAACAAGAAAATCCTTAATAAAATATTTTTTTAAAAAAAGAAAAAGAAAAGAAAAGTCTACCTAAGCAAAATCAACTTGACTGGGTAGCAGAAATGGAATCGTGAATGCGCCAACCTCCTATGGGCAATAGTGTTTGGTGATACACTATATATAGTTATAGCCTGCTGTAGAGATCTAGGCACAGGAACAATTGCAAGCACTCAGGGAATGTGTCCTTTGTTTCCAAACTAAATGAAAGGCGATGTACATTTTCTATTCAAGACCAGAGTGCAAATTATCCAAAACTACCTTCCGAAAACCAACAGAAGAGAAATCAGGTGATACGTACACATTATCTTCTACGCAAATTTTAGGCCCAACGACGTTGGCCGCTCCACTTGCCATTTTGAATGCAAAATGGTTCTCTGGACAAATTTTAGTCGTTCCACATTTATATCTTGGGGGTTTTGTAGCTTTGGAGGGAAAAATAAATTCCATTAGCAGAAAAACTATACAACATCTCTTCTCTTTCTTTCTGAAGACTATACAGCATGAACACATTGATTTCAACAGGATGGTTTTTTTAAAGAAAATCATCTGGAAAAGTGTTTTGTGAAGCCAAAAAAATTACACACTTGTCTTGATGAATATTATGTTAACGGTTAAGAACTGGGAAATAAAAGCAGCATCCTTTACCCCACCAACTTCTACTACAGCAGACATGTGCAAATTCATGCGTTCTGGAATGTGAATTCTTTCTGAGATATAGATATTTTACAGAGTTGGAAGTAACCCCCTGCAAGGCAGGAATATGCAGCTGGGATCGAACCAGAAACCTTGCCACTGTCAGCACCATGCTCTAACCAACTGAGCTGCCCAGCTGCTTGTATACGGCTCTTTCTTTTTCAGGCTCCACAAATTACACAGAAGGACGGAGGTAAATGCAATGGCTACCCCAAGCTTGAGTCTCCAAATGTTGTTGGGACTACAGCTTCCATTGCCCATCCTGCTTAGGATTGATGGAGTCCTGGTCCAGCAAAAAATGGGGACCTGGGTCGAGATATAGCTCACTATAATGTTCACTGGGCAGAACATAAAGAATGTGTAAATCTGGAGATGAACATTCCAGTGGCAGCTCATATAGGGTGGTGTGGAGGCAGTGGCATCTTCCCAGTGGCGACACTGCAGTGGTCAGGATGAAGCAAGGTGGCGATGTTGGGGGAACTCCAGGTTCAGCAGCCCCACAAAGATGCTCCCACAACCTTGCTGTTGCTGCCTTGGCCCTGACCCATCCCTGTGACGGCCTCGGCCCAGGATACCTGAAGGAGCATCTCCAACTCCATCGTTCAGCCCAGACACTGAAGTCCCGCTCCAAGGGCCTTCTGGCGGTTCCCTCACTGTGAAACCGAAGTTACAGAGAGCCAGGCAGAGGGCCTTCTCCATAGTGGCGCCCGCTCTGTGGAACCACAGTTCAAGAAGGACACTGACAAACTGGAATGTGTCCAGAGGAGGGCAACCAAAATGGTCAAAGGCCTGGAAACGATGCCTTATGAGGAATGGCTAAGGGAGCTGGGCATGTTTAGCCTGGAGAAGAGGAGGTTAAGGGGTGATATGATAGCCATGTTCAAATATATAAAAGGATGTCATATAGAGGAGGGAGAAAGGTTGTTTTCTGCTGCTCCAGAGAAGCGGACACGGAGCAATGGATCCAAACTACAAGAAAGAAGATTCCACCTAAACATTAGGAAGAACTTCCTGACAGTAAGAGCTGTTCAACAGTGGAATTTGCTGCCAAGGAGTGTGGTGGAGTCTCCTTCTTTGGAGGTCTTTAAGCAGAGGCTTGACAACCATATGTCAGGAGTGCTCTGATGGTGTTTCCTGCTTGGCAGGGGGTTGGACTCGATGGCCCTTGTGGTCTATTCCAACTCTATGATTCTATGAATGCCCTCTCATCAGATGTCAAGGAAATAGACAACTATCTGACTTTTAGAAGACATCTGAAGGCATCCCTGTTTAGGGAAGTTTTTAAGGTTTGATGTTTTATCCTGTTTTTAATATTCTGTTGGAAGCCTCCCAGAGTGGCTGGGGAAACCCAGCCAGATAGGCAGGGTGTGTGTGTGTGTGTGTGTGTGTGTGTCTGTCTGTGTGTCTGTGTGTCTGTCTATAATTTATTATTATTATTGTGAGTACAGTGAGAAGAGGATGAGCCACCATGTCTGAGATGAGCCACCTCTTTGAAAAAGTGATCAAAGCAAATGTTAAACACTCCTGAACAATTTTAATGGCTTTACTGTAAGCCCGAGTCAAGAAGTGGGAACATCTCCGTCCAGGAAGAAGAAGAAAAAGGAGGAATAATAGGTACCTTCTAGGGCCCCATCTAGGTGGTGGAGTTAGCTTCAGTTCATTAGTAGCTGGAAGGGTTTTCAGCAAGGAAACTCAAACCCAGGGCTCATGACCACTCCACCAAGGCTTTCTGCCCCAGCCCCTATGGTCCTGCTCTGCCACTGCGTGTAAATTCACATGTGCTCTAGTCATTCTTAGGAAAGTTGGAATAAGAGAGTAGGCTGGAGATTGCCTGTGGGTCATGTGCATCTTATTTTGGATTTATAGAAGAACTAAGAACAGAGAACACGAAAAAGTAAAAACCCTGCTATACGATACTTACGCCGTGCAGGTAGCTCCAGTGGTGATCTTGCTGAAAGAGATAACATTTTATATCATTCCTTAATCATGTTCAAACAAACAAAACACGTCAACATCTATCAAATAGAAGAGAAAGCTTTAAAGTTAGGGCCTTTCTCCAAGGTTAGACAATGCTGGCCTACAGAAGCTATACAATTCCAGTTTTAGTGCAGAACATGCTGTCACGGAACAGTATTTTATTGGATGGGATAACTGCCTACAAATTAATATTTCTCCATTCTAAATTGTGTGATTGAGTTATTGGCTCATTAAAGAAAGCCATTTTAGGTTCTATAAGGTTTTATTTGCTATAAGTAAAGATTAAAAATAAAACTTTTTCTGTATATAAAACAGGAAGCAAAACACTAAGAAATCAGCAACAAATGAAATAAAATAAAATAAATGAAAGCAGGACTCTCTTTGACTTGCTGCTGATGAGCAATTTGCAAAAAACAAATACAAAACAAAACCACCCAGCACGGTTTAGTTTAACTTCACAGCATATATGAGAACACAAGGCTCAGAAGAGAAATACGTAATTCTTTCAAAGCAGTATTATAACATGCATAAATCACCTAGCCTGCAACTCTATCCACTTACTAGGAAGTAAGCTCCACTGAACTCATTGGGAATTAAATCTGAATAGATGTGTGTAAGATTACACTGTTTAGTGGCATAATGCTGGCTGAAATTATATGCAGGGAAAACAATAGAAGCAAATCACTTACCAAACAGGTTCCCTAGGCTGGCGTCCATTTTTATTTCAAATACTTGGGATATGACGTAAAATGTCAGCAGAAATACGGCTACCGCTACCGCCAATTTTGCAGCTCCTGCTCCGAAAAAAGGATGCGTTATCACCAACTGCTATTATTTTGATGCAACAACACATTTGTCAAGCCATCTGACTAAGACTTCTAGATCAAAAAGAGCAACACCCTGAACGCTGCTGGAAAAGGAACAAGAGCCCTTGGCCCACCAAAATGAGTCTTGCTGTGTGTGTGTGTGTGTGTTTCTTTCTTTCTTTTGAATAAATTTTATTAGAATATAAAGAATACAGAGCTTATTATCAAATATGGTTCCCCCCCAAACTATATATCTGTATATATTGCAACGTACCTCTAAAATATGTATCATACACATGGCACTTTATTATAGAAATGGACTGGTGAAATGTATTAATTCTGGCATAAATGTGTATGACTGCTCTGATTAGTGCTGTTGCATTTTGCTCCTCTTTTTATTCATTTGTATTATAAAACTGAAATAAAAACATTTATATAACAAAAGATAAACTTCCCAGACCTTGAACATACCAAAATCCATTCCTGACTGCTCCCATTCCTAATATACTAATATGCTACGAAAAGCAGGCCTGGAAAAAACAGATACACCTCAAACCACACACCGTATTTTTCGCCCTATAGGACACACTTTTCCCCCTCCAAAAATGAAGGGGAAATGTGTGTGCGTCTATGGGGCGAATGCAGGCTTTCGCTGAAACCTGGAGAGCGAGAGGGGTCGGTGCGCACCAACCCCTCTCGCTCTTCAGGCTTCAGGAGAGCCCCACCGCCAGCCCCACAAGCTCGGGGGGCAGTGGGGAGGCGCAGCGCGCCTTTCCCGCTCTCCCCGACTTGGTTAGAAGGTTAGCGGGGGGGGGAGAAGCCTGCTCCTCCCCGTCGCCAGCCCCGCAAACTCGGGGGACAGCGGGAGGCGCAGCGCGCCTTCCCGCTGTCCCGACTTGGTTAGAAGGCTGGCGGGGGAAGCCTGCCCTCCCGTGCCAGCCCGCAAACTGGGGACAGCGGAGGCGCGCGCCTTCCCGCTGTCCCCGACTTGGCTAGAAGGCTGGCGGAGGGCTTCCCCTCCTCCAGCCCCGCAAGCTCCCAGAGCGATGCCGAAGCTGCACGCAGCTTCGGCATCGCTCTGGGTCCTGTTCTGCGGGCTGGGGGAGGGGGAAGCCCGAGCTTCCCCCGCCCCAGCCCCGCACCTGGGGGGGTGGGAATAAATTTTTTCCCCTTTATTCCCCCCCCCCAAATCTAGGTGCATCCTATGGGCCGGTGCGTCCTATAGGGCGAAAAATACGGTAATTTAAAGCAGCCTGGCCATATAGTCCCAATGAATTAAATGACAGCTGACCATTTCAAAACTAAACACTCATGATTAACTAAACTGTGAAACGTTGTGAGGACAGATCTTCATTTCCGTGCAGACTAACGTATCTTGTTTCACCAGCCAAAAAATAAGGTGGTCGTTCTTCTTACCTGCTATTCTCATGGTTGCCCTTCTTTCGTTATTGACACAATTGCATTTAACCAGCTCCCTAGGAGAATGAAGGGATAAAAGCAGCATTCAGTTATACTGTACTAGAACAATCAAACAGAGCATTTTTTGTTAATCAGTGCCATTAAAACATTATAATGGGCTGATGACAACAACACCATGATCCCGAATAAAAAATGTATAATTTCACCATGCAATGAAATCTGGAGACTTTTAGAAATTATTTTGGTAAGCAACTAAGACAGGATACAAGAAGAGGATGCAAGGGTTATCTGTATACATTTCATTTTAGGTTGGGCACTCTGAGCCCCATACAGTGGTACCTCAGGTTACATACACTTCAGGTTACATACGCTTCAGGTTACAGACTCTGCTAACCCAGAAATAGTGCTTCAGCTTAAGAACTTTGCTTCAGGATGAAAACAGAAATCGTGCTCCGGCGGCAGCAGGAGTCCCCATTAGCTAAAGTGGTGCTTCAGGTTAAGAACAGTTTCAGGTTAAGAACGGACCTCCGGAACGAATTAAGTACTTAACCCAAAGTACCATACTTCTGTTTTCCTTGGAACACTGCAACACTGCACAACTTTTATTAGGTAAGAAGAGGCAACATTACAGAACATTAAAAAGAGAAGCCATGGGATTTGTTAGAGATTACAAGTGCTCTACGAACTCTCCTATGGAAATCAATACAGTGGTGCCCCGCAAGACGAATGCCTCGCAAGACGGAAAACCCGCTAGACGGAAGGGTTTTCCGTTTTTGAGTTGCTTCGCAGGACAAATTTCCCTATGGGCTTGCTTTGCAAGACGAAAATGTCTTGCGAGTCTTGAGATTTTTTTCGCTCCCCCCCTTTTTCTAAGCCGCTAAGCCGCTAATAGCCTTTTAGCAGCTAAGCCGCTAAGCGCCGCTAAACCGCTAATAGCGCTAAACCGCTAATAGGGTTGCTTCGCAAGACAAAAAAACCGCTAGACGAAGACACTCGCAGAACGGATTAATTTTGTCTTGCGAGGCACCACTGTAAATGTATTATTTTCATTCGTATTGCAATTGATAAATGTATCTATTTTCATTCGTATTGCAATTGAATTGTGAATATGCACCATGAGCTGTATTTATTTGCACCTACCAATTCCAAATAGATTATATGCTGTATGGATTAAAAATAAAGGCTAGGGAGGGAAGGGGGGGGGGAATCAGAATAAACCATCTGCGCTCATTTGGCATACACTCACTCAGTGAAAAATGTTTGCACAGGAAGAATGACGCCAACGGTACTACTATCAAAACCAAGAAGGTGCAAAAAACGAAACCTAGTTCTGAGTGCTGAAGTGCTTTGAATAGTCCCCCATGCTGCATGCAAAACAGATTTGAAATCCCACAGAGATTTCAAAGGCACTTTGCAATATATGACAAGGGGCCCAGTTCTCAAAAAGGAAGAGTCAATTTCCCAGAGGGTGCCTGCAAGCTTTTGATTGTGCCTAAAATAGCTCCTAGGATTCCAGTCTTAATATTAATATAATGATTCCCCCCCCCCCACTGCATGCTCAAAGGCTGTTGCTGAATAACTCGATTCTACGTACACGTGTACAACACTGGCGAAACCAAGAAACTAAAGTATCACGACTTTACCAGTTCCACATACTCCTCGCTAATTTTGTCTTTCACCGAATGCTCCTAAATTAAAATTTCATAAAAATAGGGAGGGGGAGCCCATTCTAAGCCCTTTTCCCACTCTAGAAAGTAGGGCACTGGGCTAAAAGCCAGGACTCTGGCACAGCAAGATTAGCATTAATTCAAATGTGTTTTGGAGGAAGATTGTTTGTAGCTCTTCCTACATTCTCCAGGCTGGAACAGAGCTAATCTCAAAAGGCACATGCACCTTCCTTCTCACTGATGCTTACAGCGTAAACCAAATATAAAAGCAGGTTGGGTGCACACTGATATTTTTCCAAGATAGAGATCTGGTTCAACAGGATCTGCTGCTTGCAACTCAGCTTCAGTTGAATGTTTTACCGCAGATGCACCAATTTCTACACCACGCACCAAGACTTGACCATCTGGAATTCTAACATGCAGCGACAATTTCTGGAAAATTGGTCATCTCCCACCCTTGTAGAATTCCCTGAGAAGGTATTTCAAAATCCAAGCAATGCTTTCAAGAGGCTTTCCGCACATAAACGTAATTTTAAATATGCCTGTAAGAGCCAATTTACTGTATTTTTCGTCCTATAGGGCGCACCGGCCCATAGGACGCACCTCGGTTTTTTTTGGGGGGGGGGGGAAATGAATAATAAAAAAAAATCCCCCCCCCGCCACAGCTGCCGCCCCAAGCCTTGTGCACACCTGCCCAAAGCACGGGGCACCCTCCGGAGGACTCCCTGTGCTTCGGGCGACAGGCTGCCGCCCCAAGCCTCGCGCGCTCGGCGGGACCTCCAGCCGGGCGCGCGAGGCTTGCAGACACTCGCCCAAAGCATGGGGAGCCCTCCGGAGGGCTCCCCGTGCTTTGGGCGACAGGCTGCCGCCCCAAGCCTCGTGCGCTCGGCGGGACCTCCTGCTGGACGCGCAAGGCTTGCGGACACTCACCGGGGCTGCGGGCTGCTGCCCGCAAGCCTTGTGAGCCCGCGGGAACTCCCACCGGGCTTGCAAGGCTTGCGGATAGCTTCCTGAAGCCTGGAGAGCAAGAGGGGTCGGTGCGCACCGATGCCTCTCGCTCTCCAGGCTTCAGCGAAAGCCTGCATTCGCCCCATAGGACGCACACACATTTCCCCTTCATTTTTGGAGGGGAAAAAGTGCGTCCTATGGGGCGAAAAATACGGTATTTCACGTTTCCATTTCACTAAAATTAACTTATTTAAAAACTCCAATTTCAAAGCAGTTCAGTTTGGGCAGTCTCATAAACGTGCTGTTAATCAGATCATTTTATAGCATCACATCTGCTCAGCTGCAGCAGGAACCATAATTTGTCTGAATTACGCCACAATATTTTCTACTGCTAAGCCTATGACCAAAGCCTGCATTATCTTTTAATTGTTCCACATCACCAAGCAGACTTGGGAACTCTTTCTGAACCATTCAGGGAACAGAAAGGAAAAAGAAAAAGAAAGAAAGAAAGAAAAAAGAGAAGAGAAAAGAAAAAGGGAGTTCAATGTAAAAGAGAAGAGTCAAGGTTGAGGTGCTGTACAAATTCCAGCATCTAAAGCATCAAAATGGAAAGTGAATAGACCTCACCTTGAAATGCAGGAAATTTTATCCCTCTTAAGCAGGCCATTTATTTTTTTATTTGTAGTTCCTGCCATGCTTTCCCCTCGGACTTTCCCCTTGTCGCCCCAATCTTCCAGTTCCTCCACTAATTATTATTATTATTTATTATTATTATTATTACTTTTGTACACCGCCCTATACCCAGGTCTTAGGGCAGTGCACAACAAAAAAAATCACAAGAACACAAAATACATAATAAAAACAAATCCCCCCTCCCCATCACATTTTTGAAGGGCATTGGATGTCAATCAGCCAAAGGCCTGGTTAAGGTTTATAATGAAGGTGCCAGCCAACTCTCCCTAGGGAGAGCATTCCACAAACAGGGAGCCATTGCAGATAGCACAGTGGGGACTTTTTCTCTCTCTTCCCCCACCCCTCCTGCAGGCAGTTTCGAAATTCCCATTGTTCTAGGTGCACTTATTTAGTTTATGAGCTCTGGGTGCAGTGTTGCGCCTAAGATTTCAGATTAAAACTGCAGAGTGGAAAAAAACTGTAAAAAAAAGCACGCCTAGACATCCCATTGTTGTGCCCATTACCTAGGTTTAAGGTGCCATTTAGCTCCTAGCTTTCATATCTCAGTTTCTAACACTGGCTAAAAGGCGCTATGGTCTAAACCACTGAGCCTCTTGGGTTTGTCGATCAGAAGGTTGGTGGTTCGAATCCCCGCAACGGAGTGAGCTCCCATTGCTCTGTCCCAGCTCCTGCCAACCTAGCAGTTCAAAAGCACGCCAGTGCAAGTAGATAAATAGGTACCACTGTGGCAGGAAGGTAAACGGTGTTTCCGTGTGCTCTGGTTTCCGTCATGGTGTTCCTTTGAGCCAGAAGTAGTTTAGTCATGCTGGCCACATGATCTGGAAAGCTGTCTGTTGACAAACGTCAGCTCCCTCGGCCTGAAAGCGAGATGAGCTCCGCAACCCCAGTCTCCTTTGACTGGACTTAACCATCCAGGGGTCCTTTACCTTTTCCCTTTTCCCCTTTTCTAACACTGCCTACAGGGAAATTGCCCCCCCAAGCTGGTTCCAGTCATGCCTACCATCTTCGTTTTACCCTAGCTGGCAGGTGAGATGGGGTTGGCAACAGAACATGCTGAACATCTCAGCCATGCTAGCCTGATCAGCTTCCAGGATGAGGGAGAAGAAGCAATTTCACTTCCACTGCAGAAACCAATTGGGCTTGGCTTGCAGAGCATCCTTGCCTCTCTGCCAGCCCAAACACTCACCTGGGGGAAATTCTGCATACTCGCCTAGGCAGAATTTGTGGTTGCCTATGGTGACCAGGTGAACAGTTGAATATACATTCCACGGTCTTGCTTACTCTGATCGCTTAGAACTCACATCTCTATGCACTAATACTTCTCCTGAGTCTGCTGCCCCAACACTGTCCCTTGGCATTAAAAAAAAAAAAAAACCAGTTGCAAGTTCAGCGCTTTGGACATTTTAAATTACTATAACTCAGCTACTCTTCAGTTGATTTTTATGAAATTCATCCAGATTAAACCAGTGAGTGGTTTGCTTATTTAACTATGTGTCTGTATGCTATAAAGTCGTTATTTGGGTGGCTTGCAACGATTAAGTAAAAATACGATTTCATTACAAAATGAATATATAAAATTTTAAAACGTGCCTGCAGAGGCTTTATAACATACTCTCCAAATTTCTCTGATGAGAATAGGGACATCCTATTCATTCATTCATTCATACATACATTATACATACATACCCTGGTCATCTGACTGAGTTGCCCAGCCACTCTGGGCAGCTTCCAACATAGATAAAAACATAATAAAACATTAAAAAATAACTTCCCTACACAGGGCTACCTTCAGATGTCTTCTAAAGGTTGTATATATACTTATCTCCTCCTGACATCCTTGCATAACTCCATCCCTCCAATATTTTTCCGATGAAAATAGGGACATCCTAATGGAAAGCAGGATCAGATCAGAAAGCAGGACTGCCCCTGGAAAACGGGGACATTTGGAAGGCCTGTTATAATAGCAGGAAGTTTAGAAAACCCAGAGGTCTTACATCCATATTTGCTTGACATGGAGAGAGACTGATCTAAGGCTTCTGCAATTTTTTAAACAAAGCTGTCTAGAAACCTGACCCGATGGCAACGTCTGGTAGGGTACTATAGTACCCTCGGAAAATGTAAACATTTTTCATCTCTTTTTCACCATAGTCACCCTGAAAATACATGGTGATTCTATCAGTCACGTGAACCAGCAAAGTCAGCAGTGTTTTCCTCATTCTTCCCTCATGTCCTTGCTTCTCAGATCACTGAATATTCAGTCCTCTTTGTCTCTGTGCCTTTTCCCCCACTGACATTTCCTGCTCGAACGCCTCCTCCACTTCCTATTCACAGCCAACAATACAAGTTCGCCTTTGCTTCCGAAGCAGTCCCCACCACCTAGAAAAAGTTTCACTTCTTCCACACAAGCAGTGTTAGATACTCAGATATATAACCTAGGCACCAAAAGGCTCCTTAAACCAGGGTTACATTCACCAAAACAGAATGTCTAGTTGCCATTTGGGGGCCAGGAGGCTCAAAAGTAGTATTTTTCAATACACCTTTTGGGTTCCTGAAATTCGTTCTCATTGTGCAGATAAAATATAGCAGAGAGAATTCTACAGGATGTTTTGCTGGTGTGTGAAAACAGTCGAGATCCCAGGATCCCCAGGCTGGCACCTCCAGATGGTGGAGATGTCAGGTGCCATCCTGGCGCTCGGACATCTTCACTTGGTTACAAGTAAAGGGACCCTGACCGTTAGGTCCAGTCGTGGCCGACTCTGGGGTTGCAGCGCTCATCTCGCTTTATTGGCCGAGGGAGCCGGCCTTTGTCCGCAGACAGCTGCCGGGTCATGTGGCCAGCATGACTAAGCTGCTTCTGGCGAACCAGAGCAGCGGACGGAAACGTTCGAATCCCCGTGACGGGGTGAGCTCCCATTGCTCGGTCCCTGCTCCTGCCAACCTAGCAGTTCGAAAGCATGTCAAAGTGCAAGTAGATAAATAGGCACCGCTCCGGCGGGAAGGTAAACAAGTGGCTGATAGCCCGGTGCAAAATGCGCCTGGCAAATTATGAAGGTTGTACACAAGTTGTGCTCTACTTTCTCTATGTACATCCTAGTGCCAACACTTTTCCTGAGGGCAGGGGTTGACAGGCATATCTACACATCTTCCAATGTTCCATTGTTGAGCCCATAACCTCGGTTTAAGGCGCCATGTCGCTACTAGCTTTCATCTCAATTTCTAACACTGATGCCTTCACATTCACTTTATTCAGGGAGAGTTTACCAGGGAGAGCTTACTCAGCTTTCAGCTGAATCCAGTGTTCAAAATTATAGCCAGGCACCAGGGGCATTTGGCACCTGGCTTTCAACCACTTGTGACCAAGTGAGGATGTCTGGGCACCAGGATGAGGCCTGACATCTCCACCATCTGGGGATACTTGGATCTGGGCTGTTTTCACACACAAATACCCCGCCCTGTAGAATTCTATCAGTTATATTTAATCCGCACAATCGGAATGAATTTCAGACAACAAAATGCCTTTTCTGTGCAGCCTGAGCAGGAGCAGTCACCAATAAGAAAAAGAGGTCGGAATAGGCCAATACATATGTGGACTGTCCCTGGATCAAGTGATTTTTCTTCTTTAAGTTTTCGAAGTTCTTAACCTAGGCTCAAAGTTGTCATCTGAACTAGCCAGGTGTTTAGCTGAGAATCAATCACAGTCAGTCCATCATTTGAAAAATAAGACTTTTGAGCCATCTTGCCCCAAAATGGAAACTAGACATTTTGTCTGGGCGGCCATTTGGAGTCTAGCTTTTATATCTGAGTTTCTAACACTGGTTTTGACCAGGAAACAGGTTTTTCCATCCGCCCCTTTAACTATCAGGCAGATTAGAATGCAGCATTAGATACTTGTAGAACAAGGGGAAAGTGCACACTCAGTCAAATAACAATGCAGTTCTTGTATGAATGCTGGGGATTAGAGGACACAGAAAAACAAAAGACAAAATGCTATGTTAGTTAAATCAATTCAAAGTGTTCTCACTGAGTTAGAAAAACATGGGATGCTCATTTGTGAAACTATCAGGAAGTTAATTCTGCCTTGATGCTAATGACTTGGGAATCTCTGATTCTAGTAGAACTAAACAGTAAAATAAGTTGATAAATATTTCTCTATAATAAATAAATTGTCTAAAATGAAATAAACATGTACAGTGGTACCTCGGGTTACATACGCTTCAGGTTACAGACTCCGCTAACCCAGAAATAGTACCTCGGGTTAAGAACTTTGCTTCAGGATGAGAACAGAAATTGGGTGGCGGCAGCAGTGGGAGCCCCATTAGCTAAAGTGGTGCTTCAGGTTAAGAACAGTTTCAGGTTAAGAACGGACCTCTGTAACGAATTAAGTACGTAACCAGAGGTACTACTGTAATGTATTGAGGTAAGGAAAACTGGAAAGCAAAGCAGTTTTCAGTGCCACACCAAAAACTCTTTAAAAGGAAGCCCCACATAAAAGTTGTTGCGTGGTCTATTGTGGAGTTCATCAGACATGGATAACTGTGGCCAGGTTACTTCTGTGCATGAGAAGCCCCAGAAGGTGGACAGCATCAGTGTTACAAACTCAGATGTATAAGCTAGGTGCTAAATGGCTCCTTAAACCAGGGTTACAGTCACCAAAACGGAATGCCTAGTTGCCATTTGGGGGGCCTGATGGCTCAAAAGTCATATTTTTCAATATGACTTTTTGGTTCCTGAGATTCGTTCTGATTATGCAGATAAAATATAGTGGAGAGAATTCTACAGGATGTGTTGCTGGGCATGCACCTTCAGATGGCCAAGATGTCAGGTGCCATCCTGCTGCCTGGTCATCGTCACTTGATCCCAAGTGGCTAATAGCCAGATGCAAAATGCGCCTGGCAAATTTTTAATGCTGGGAAGCATACCAGTTTCATTCCTTGATATATAAACTAGGTAAGTCTGACTGCCCAAGAGCTAACTTCCAAGGCGGGGGGAAGCCCCGTGGTACAAGTGGAAGTCCTTGCACAGGGCTTCCACTGGCAGGACTCCTTAGCTAAACCCTGCTCTATAGTATGCAAAATTTGGATAAAATGGCAGACGATGCTCTGCATGAATGGGGAAGTGAGAGGGATGAAGTTTGTGAGGGAAGCAGGGAGCATGCAAAACACAAGGCTCATTTGGTATGGCTGCCATACATCCAGATTTTCCTGGACACATCCGGGAATTGGGCAGCCATTCTGTGGCCTGGTGGATTTTTACTAAATTGGCAAAATGTCCAGGAAAACCCAGACGTATGGCAAGGGGGGTATTACAATAAATAAATCATTAAAAAATCAGGGAAAGCACAAAAAAGTCCTCTCATTTGGACATTCATAGTTTGGTGTTAGATATGAATCAAGCCCATGTTTGAAGAAAATGTTTAGTTACGCTGAATGAATCTCTCAGTTTAAGATATTACCTGCATTCAGTGGGGAGGGGAACAGCTCATTCATTCATTCATGAATGGGTGGGTGGGGAAAAACATTCTCAAAAGAGAAAGGCAATTATCTCACTTGTTACGCACTATGTCGTACAATTCATCAAAAGACATGGTTAGCACTGAAAGTAATTGCAGTTACATCATACACCTTTGCCTCTCTCAGGGGTAAATAGGTAGCTTAATTGCAAGTGCAATCGGAAGGAAGTACACAAGGAACCTGCATGGTTTGGAAGGAAGATATACCCTTTAATTGATCAAAACAAGGATTGGTATCCAAGCATTCCAAGCCCCTCGAGGAGATAACAGGCCAGGTTCCAGTTCGAGAAATGAACTACTGATTGCTGTTATCAAAACACCTAACTCTCTTGTTACTATAAACCAGCCTCCCCACATTTGGACAAAATCGGAAACAGAAGTTTGTTACAGATTCGGCTCCAAATTTATTACCTTACATACAAACCCAAAGCTGGTCTATGGTTTACTGCTATGTCTAAATGCGTCCATTGATGTCAATTCCGCCTTTGAAATCCCGGTAATGGTGATCTACAGCACTGAACATGAGAGGAGTTCATAAAATTTATACACCACTTTAGTGTAACAAAACAAAACCTTAATGCAGCTTCCAGAAATTGCAGTTTATAAACTGCATTCTCAGATCTTCTTGTTCAAATGAACATTAAACAATAATTTATGTACAGTGGAAGCTTGGGTTGCGAACGTGATCCGTGCAGGAGGCACATTCGCAACCCACAGTGCTGTGCCGCGTCTGTGCATGCACGACACAATTCGGCACTTCTGCACATGCGCAAAGTGTGATTTAGTGTTTCTGCACATGCGCGAGCGCCGAAACCCAGAAGTAACCTGTTCCGGTACTTCTTGGTTTCAGCGCGTCTGTAACCTGAAAATGTGCAACCGACAGCGATCGCAACCCGAGGTATGACTGTACTTATGACATTTCTATTCCACCTATTAGGGGACGCGGGTGGCGCTGTGGGTTAAACCACAGAGCCTAGGACTTGCCGATCAGAAGGTCGGCGGTTCGAATCCCCGCGATGGGGTGAGCTCCCGTTGTTTGGTCCCTGCTCCTGCCAACCTAGCAGTTTGAAAGCACGTCAAAGTGCAAGTAGATAAATAGGTACCACTCCAGCGGGAAGGTAAACAGCGTTTCCATGTGCTGCCCTGGTTTGCCAGAAGCGGCTTAGTCATGCTGGCCACGTGACCCGGAAGCTGTCTGCGGACAAATGCCGACTCCCTCGGCCAATAAAGCGAGATGAGCGCTGCAACCCCAGAGTCAGTCACGACTGGACCTAATGGTCAGGGGTCCAAGGAGAACATAGTTACGTACATGGGTCTTCCCTCATCTATCTCTTCACAACATCCCAGTGAAGTGGTCTAGGCTCAAGGTTCATGGTTGCATGGGTTCCTAGCCCAGCACTCTAACACTCCCCCCACCCCCACTTTGGTGCCACAGTGTACTAAAACCAAAGTTTAGAATGTTTACTTACTTTGTTTTTTGCCAATTAATTTTTATTACTTTTCAAAAAATTTAATGAATTTAACATCACATTAATTCAAATTTCATGCAAATTTAAAAGTGACTTCCCACCCTGCTTCCTCGATGTTTCATTTCCCACCCGTATTAGCTGGCTCAATAGTACATACGTTTCCAAATTACATTTCAAAAAACTTAAAATATTTTAGCATTTTATCTTTGATTCCCCCCCCCCCCAATTTTCTTCCTCTTCATTTCCCACTGGCTGCTCATTTTCAGTTCCTGCTAGACTTTTACTTAACTATTAACCTATTCCCTATTTTTCTGCCCACAAATCCTTACTTTTAAATCAGTAATCACCCATTAAAGCCCATCTCTCCTGCTATTTTCCATACAGAATGTTTCCTTTCCACATAGCATTTTCTTTAAAACTGGATAAGCCAGATCTGACTCTCTGAAAAGCAATCAGTGTTGAGAAATTCTGGAATGTTGTTACTTTGGCTCAGAGCTTTCACAAGGTCCATCATTTCCCACATTTTTTTTCCTATTCAGAGCAATAAATACTGAAGTGAAAAAAATCCTTTTTTAGGTGAGAAAGAGAAAGCCACTCCTCTCCACATTAGGGAATATAATGGGGGCTTTGGCTGCTTGGGAGCTCTTACAGCAAAGGCGGGCAATTATCAGAGAAACAGAAAATTCACATTCCTCCCAATGTCCTTGCTCAAACATGATTTTCTTCCTTATCTTTACATGTGTTGGAGGGAAAAGGGCTTGCCCAGGGGGTTAGATTAACAGCCTACCTATCCAATTTCACAATTGCTGCCCCATGCTTCCAAATCTAAAGAAGCAACTTTTTCTAGAAACTTCTCTTTTTGCCGCTTGATCCAACAAGGCATGTTGACTCAGATGCAAATCCCAGTGATTTTAAAGGAGCCTCTCCACAAGTCTATGCACCTAAGGTAACAGCTATAGTAATGCATTTTTTTAATGGAATAAAAAAATCAAATGCAGATTCTGATATAGACCTTTCACCCAATGTACAGAAACAGAAGCTAAAATATGGTTCCTAGAACAATTTGGTATAGGGCGGGGAGAGGAGAATGCCCTCTTAGAAACTGCTCAAATTAAACTTCCGAAAAAGCTATTTGCGGGTAAGATGAAAAACCATTCACTAAAATCTTTACAGTTTTTACCCGCAGCAGGCTGCAATTACACACAGCAGGTGCACCAGTATTAAAAACACCAGCCTGTCTTAATCATTCTTAATTTAGTAATAAGTAACTACCGCATGCGTGCCCATGCAAGATTGTAAAACATGATCATTCTGGCCCGCTTAGACCTGAAAAGCGTGGGGGGCGGATCGACAGCCTTTAATACAAAAAAAAAGTCTTCTACTTTGCTTCAGGTATAAGTTTTTAAATATATATATTATTCCTTCCTGGCACTTAGACAGCAGCTACACTTGAGGCATCTTACCATGCAATGCTTAACACACTTCTTCAGAAGGAGGTCCCCATTAATCCCATAAAGCTTACTTCCCAGGGAAATGTCTACAAGATTGCAGCCTTCATAAATCTGTACACAGCCTTGCCCATCCTGGTGACCTTCAGATTTTCGGACTGCAGCTTCCATCAGGCCCAGCCAGCATGACCAATGGGTGGAGATGGGAGGAACTGGGAGCCCTCAACAACTGTTGGGGAAAGCTAATCTAATATTTTAGGGTTGAGTTATTGAGTCGAGTTGTGAAAAAGAAAAGGGTGAGGAGTGAAAAGCTTAAATAAAAAGAGAACATGCAGCCAATTGTAACCTGTGTTAGAAATTAGCCAGGCGCCATTTGTGTCTGGCACAGGTCCAATTGCGACCACATAGAAATGTCTGGATGCCAGGATGGCAGCTGACATCTCCATCTGGCTGGCTCCTCCAGATTTCTTAAGCAGGTAAGGTAAGCAGAAGAACTTATTTGTTTGCATTTCTATCCCACCTTTTTCTCCAAGGAGTACATGGTTCTCTCACCTCCTCAGTTAATTCCTACAATGACCCTGTGACGTAGGATAAGAGGCTGTGACTGGCCCAATATCACCACTACACCCCACTGGCTTCCTAGAGCATTTCTGCTGTGGAGCAACTCTATAAATTAAGCAGGTAAATGAATATGGGGAAGGCAAAATGTCACTTAGAGAAGGATCTGAAATATTTTCCTTGAATTTGTTTTATTCTGGATTGCTGTATTTGATATTTTAATGTGTTGTAAATCACTTTGATATTTTTTCTTCAAAATATAAAGTAGTATAGAAATAATAATAACAATGATAATAGAGTAATAAGCAATTTCATTGCAAAAAAGTGACTGGATATTCCATTGTGGTGACTGTAATCCAGGTTTAAGGTGCCATTTGGCGATTATCTTATATATCTGAGTTTCTAACACTGCCCCTGAGGAAATGCCTAATTTCTGTCACTGGTCAACACTGCTTCTTAGATCTTTATTCTCAGCATTCAAGTTAATCCAACTTAATGTGAAATAATCTTGTTACTTATACATAAAATTTTAGAACAGTTGACATCACGCCATTAGGCATCAGATATGCAAATCCTAATTTACAAATTGTTTTTCTTAATAACTGATACCATTTCCACACAACTACTTCAGGCTCATTAGCATCTTGCCAGGTCGCCACCAGCGACTAGAAACTGTCCCAGGCGATTTGCAGCAGATTCCCTTTTTCAGTAATAATACTGCACTAGATGAAGCTCAGGGTCCCTTCTAGCTCTGTGATTCTATGATATATATAGCTGTCATTGGACATGCTCAGCACACTACAAATGAAACTCTTTACCAATTTTCGAGTCCGTACCTTCCCACCACAAACCTCCACTCCTTATCATTTTTCTTGACCTGATCAACGCCAAATGTAGTCTCTGGAAAGAGATCATATCTTGTTCCGTTTACTCAGTCGCAGGGCGTAGTGGGAAGGGAACTCTAATCAGCTGGTTGGCTTTGCTGCAAAAACTGCACCTCCCTTAAGAGAAAACAGCTTCTGTGTACAAGTTTATTTGAAGGACTATGCAGGATTGAATTTGGCATTTTATTTCATAACCAGAAGAGGCGCTTTACCGATATTCAGAGACCATCCCTTCTCTATGTAGCTGTGCCAAATGCTAACAGCACTTGCAAGCCTGGCTCAAATTAAAGAAGCAAAGGCAAAGAAAGGAAACAAGGAAGTTCTCTTGCAAAATATTACACATTGTGCTGCAAAAAAGTACTATAGGTTAGAATCTGTGAAGGAGAACTAGGAAATAACAGCTCTTCTGCAACAGTGGTCATGATTTTTCTATTACATGTTCCTTTGGAGGTTAATAATTAGATGGTGTTTTTTTTCAAGTCCGCAGATATTTTTCTCCAAGTGTGTGTGCACTTTCACCTTTTCAATTTCGCAACTGCAGAATAGCTGGATTTTGAAAGCATACGTCAGCACCTGCTATCTCTGGGCAGCTGGCTGGGCCCAGGGACAGAGCTTGCCCTGGGCCCCTCCTAGATCCTTATTTCTGAGCAGTGGCAAGTGACTGGGAATAGCCACTCTTTAAATTTCCCACAATGCCTCCAGCCCAGGTTCACGCTGGGGCATTGTGGGAAATTATACAGGTGGCTTAATGCTCTTTGGATCACTGCCACTGTAGTCTCATTAAACCCACCAGGGCCACTGACAGAGAAGGGGGTTGACCAGAAGACACTTTGCCCAGTTTTAGAAACTCAGATAATATAAGCCCAGGTGCCAAATGGTCCCTTAAACCAAGGTTAGGCTTGCCAAAACAGAATGTCTAGTTTCCATTTTAGGGCAAGACAGCTTTAAAGTCTTATTTTTCAAAAGATGGACTGACTGTGATTGATTCTCAGTTAAATATCCGGCTAGTTCAGATGACAACATTGAGCTCGGTTAAGAACTTAATGAGGATCACTTGATCCAGGGCAGTCTGGATCAAGCCTATTCCTACCTCTTTTTCTGAATGGTGACACAGACGATTCCTAACGTAAGAATATTCTTCACAACTGTGAGCAGGGCAGTGGGGTGGAATAAAGGAAGACAAGTTACAACAATTAACTACAATGCTGTACACCGCTCCTGCTCAGGCTGCACGGAAAAATTTTGGTTTCTGAAATTCATTCTGACTGCGCAACTAAATGTAACTGGTAGATTTCTACAGGATGTGGTTTTAGTGTGTAAAATAGTCAAGTTCCAATGATTCCCCAGGCATGCACCTCCAGATGGTGGAGGTGTCAGGCGCCATCCTGCCACCCAGGCATCCTCATTAGGTTGCAAGTGGTCAAAAGCCAGGTGCCAAATGCACCTGGTGTTTGGCTAACCCTGACTTTGTCCAGCACTCCCAACGGGCCTTGTACCAAAGATCTCATTCCACACAACCCATGCAAAAGAAAGGTGTTTTAAAATTAATTTGTGTATCAGTAGATGGACCATTAAAGAAAAAATGGTAGGCTAGCAATTTCTCAATTTACCGTATTTTTTGCTCTATAAGACTCACTTTTTCCCTCCTAAAAAGTAAGGGGAAATGTGTGTGCATCTTATGGAGCGAATGCAGGCTGCACAGCTATCCCAGAAGCCAGAACAGCAAGAGGGATCGCTGCTTTCGCTGTGCAGCAATTGCTCTTGCTGTTCTGGCTTCTGGGATTCAGAATAATTTTTTTCTTGCTTTCCTCCTCCAAAAACTAGGTGCGTCTTATGGTCTGTGCGTCTTATGGAGCGAAAAATACGGTGATTTTTAAAAGCTAGATTGCATGCATTTCTTCAGATGGAAAAATACAGAAATGCAAAAATACTGAGCCAGAGAACTGGTTAATCGAGCCCAGTATGATCTACTCTCTGCTGGCCATAGATCTTTGAAGATGCCAGAGTTTGACCCAGGGCGTTCTTCATGAGAAGTGTGTGCTCTGCCGCTGTGCTTCCTCTCTACACTACGCTTCCCACGCTATGCTTCCCCCACTTCTGCCTCTGGCCTGAAATCACATAAGGCAATCATGTGTGGTGGCCACATGCATTTTCGGTTCGATGCTTTAGTGCTAAACTAGGGGTTGTGAAGGAAACCATTTCAAGGACCAAAAGGGGGTGTACCTTCTTCAGGAGGGTAATTTTTTAGCCATGGCTTTAATTTAACTCACCCATGCAGACTGTACGGCTGGCTGCTATCAAAAATTGCATGCCAGGAAAGGCAAGACTCGGGAGGTTTTGCTTAATGCAGTTGCTTCTAGGAAGTAAGAAGCTACTGTGGACCATTGAAAAACTTTGGTTCAGAATTCTGTGCAATTTTCCTCTATTTCCTGAGGAAGAATTTCATATCTATCACCAGTCTTAAGGGCTACAATCTCTCTCTCTATATACATAAAGATGCTCAGGGGCCCAATATAAATGTACAGGTTTGCATCATGCAAGTGCAAAATAACTTTGCTGTTAACAGTTCCACTTCAGAATGAAAATTAAAAAGCAATTTAAAACCATGGTATCAGAAAAGCCAGGCCTACAATGCAAACACTTGTGGTTTTTATTATTATTTTACAGCTGGAAAGGCAAATACTGCAGTGCTTAGATAATAAGGAATCCTTCGTCCCATGACCTCCTGTACAATATTTTACTATAATATTAACAGTGCAATTCCCATGCATGCTTACTCTGAAGCAAGTCCTCAGTACTCTGCGTTCAGTCTCAGGCACGTGTGAATAGCATTGAGGTAGAAGACTGAAAACTGTACAAAGAATGTTAAGTATAGGAATAAGCCCTATAAACACTTTTCTGTACATTCAGTTTTAGGATTGCTCATCAGTAAGGTATAAATTACTATGGACTGGAAGCACTATTGAGTTGACCTTCAACTTACAAGGGATTATGTTCCAGGAATCACGTGTAAAGCCAAAATTGTGTCTAGTCAAAACACACTCTCACTGCACCTCCAAACGCTCTTCCAAGGCTATACACAGTCTCCCAAGGTCAGTGCCATTTTTTCTTTCCTTGATGCCCGCCCCTTCTCATTTATCTATTTAGACCAAGTGCAAAAACCTAAATTTGCACAATTTAAATGCACAGAAGTTGCAAGCCGATTTTATATATACACACACGCACACACAAACTAAAGCGCTAATTAAACTATTCAAGAAAGGTATGACCTCTACTGCTTTTTAAATGCCTAGTCTAAAGGCATGCACTTACAAAAAAATTAACTGAATTCAACTGAGCACTGTCAGATATTTTCTATTTGTAAAACAAACTGCTAAGACTTGGGAGAACGGCGCGAATGTGGTGTCTACCAATGGATCTCCTACACAGAGCTTATACAAAGTAAAAAAGGTCAGCCTCCTGCTTCTAGATGATGATTACAACCTAACAAAGGAAGGGGAAGTAAATAAATGCAGGGGGGAAACCAGGGAGAACATGGATGCCAAATTCAATTTTTCAAAACGTTTTTTAAAAGAAGCATTTTCACAGCGTTTTTTATATGTGTGTAGATTTCACCTTAGTTACCAAAGAGATTGGAATGCTCCACACTATACAGTCATACCTTGGATTACAGACGCTTCGGGTTGCGTTTTTTCGGGTTACAGACCTGCCGAAACCCAGAAGTACCGGAACAGGTTACTTCCGGGTTTCGGCGGTCGCGCATGCGCAGAAGCACTGCGGGTTGCAAACGCTGTGGGTTGCGAACGCGCCTCCCGCACGGATCATGTTCACAACCTGAACATCCACTGTACTGCACATGGAAGAAGTGGGTGGCCTGCGTTCTCCCTCTAGGGAGCCCCACGGTCCAAATTCTCCACATTGCCAAACCAGGTGTGTCAAGCAAGAGAAGGAAGTGGCGACTGCAGCCTCTCCGATTTTTCTTGCTTCTGCCCTCTCCCTGGGCAGAGTCACAGGGCACAATTCCCTGCCATGCTCCAGAGAGAGAGACAGCATGTGCACTCCTCCTCTGAGTGATGCACCAACCTTTACTACCACACCCCCACGAGAGGGGCAGGACATGAAAGCATGATAGTGGTCCCAACAAGCATCAGTTGACACTTAACTTATGAAACCCCATTTATTATTTTGTTCTCAATTCACCCCGCCCTTTTAAAACTCTTTGCAGTCAGAGGCTCCATCAAACTGCCTTAAGAACTACTCTAAATATATGTAGTGCCTCCAAATTCATAGCCGTTGTGCATGCTCCTTTCTGACAAGGTTTTGGGTTTTGTCAGCTAATTGTGTGTCTGAACTCCCCACCCCCGCCCCAAAGAGAGGTGCCTCCTCACACTGCCCCACAGGGGCCTGGGAAGCATCCCTTGGCCAGCGCCAGAGGTACCATTCCCCTGGGGAGCTTGCAGCCAGGACTGCTGCAACAAACAGCTGTGCAAGCCTTTGGGAGGCAGAGACGCAAGAGGGCATCAGAAGATGGAGGGAAGGAAAGAGGGACAGAGGCCAGTGGTGCCCGCTGCACCCCTGACTATCATTCAAGGCTCCCCAGGGTTCCACGGCACAAGGGTTGAAAACCACTGCCAAGGAGCTCTGTTTTGCAAGTGGGATTCAACTGCACATTTGGGTTGCACAATTAAACTACAGCAAACCCACACCCACACCATGGGCTTTTTGCAATAAGTGACAGGAAAATGCACTGGCAAGTGTGGGATAACAACTGCCTCATGCGGCAGGGCAAACAAATCAGAACAAATGATCAGCAATGGGCTAACATCATCTAACCTCCCTGCAAACTTTGCACAAGGAAATCACAATCATGACTCAAGAAACAGGTCATCCTGACGCCTCCCACCCAGTACAGAAGCAGAGTAATCTCTACTTTGATGGGTCTGTAAATGTTAATAACGCAAAAGTGGTGTGAAGGGGAAATTCTCCAGTAGGCTTTGCTGCGTATGCCTTTTGGGAACGCTGCCCCTTCCTTGAAATACAAGGAATGCTCCAAGGCTGCAGAGAAGGAGAGATCAGGGCAAGAAACCAACAAATATTGGTTCTGCAGAATCTAGGCAGATAAAAAGGAAAGGACATAGCCTAAGAGGAAGAGGCAGAAAAAGTTTTCAAGGAGACTTAGCTGTAGCTTTAACGTGCATAGAAGTTGTCACTGTAACCTCCTATTAAATTTTATCTAGAAAACCAATCCCCACTTCACTGATAATGAATTGAGAATGCAGACTTTCACCACTCTGGTGGTGACGTGGATAAGAGACAAACGAATGTAGTCATGCTCAGCTTTATGCACCCATAATACACAAGGCGGGGAGGGAGAATGTACCCTGTTATCACTCAGACTGACAAGAGTACAAGAGGATTAATATGTGTTAAGCAATATTTAATTTCTCGGAAGAAGTGTCAGTGTTCAAAGTTCCTGGAGGAGGTGGGACTTCAGACTTCCCCAGCTCCAGGTACATGGCAGCTGACTGGGGCTACTCAGTGACCATGGGAACCACACTCTGTATATGCTCTGGGATGCTGATTTAACCCATGCAGCTTGAACTTCTCAGGACACCTACAAGCGCATAGAATCACTGCACCGCAGAGTTGGAAGGGGGCATATATGGGATTAACATCACGCAAAATAAAATGTTTTCAAGCACGCAAAGAGCTTCACATGCGTTATGCAGCGGCGACCCTTCCATCAAGCACAGGGGTGCCAACTTGAATAAAATATTGGGGGTGCCCAGCTAACCTCAGCCCCACATAACAGATCACATGATGTGGTCCATGTACACCACTGGAATGGCAACGCCTACCAACTTTGGGAGGGGAGCCAGCCTCCTCAAATATTTTATTGGGGGCGGTCAAAGGGATCTCAGCCCCTAGGAGTTGGCTCAAGTGCCTAAAGTCAGCCAGTATCACCGCATGCACACCCCATTTTGCAGATGGGTAGACTGAGGCTGAGAGAAAGACATGAGTAGCAACCTAGGAAGTTCAGGGCAGAGGCAAGACTCAAAGCAAGGGGTCATTGTTGGAAACTGAGATATGAAAGCTAGGAGCTAAATGGCATAGGGAAACCCTATCCTAATCCAACACTGTAACCACCGCGCAATGTGTGTTATATATTGGCTCCTTTCAGCTCTTGACTCAGTGTTTCTGTATTCAGCTGAAAGCTTCCTTTTGCTACTAAGCTCTCCCTGAATAACATATAAATGTGAAGGCATCAGTGTTAGAAATGGAGATACGAAAGCTGGGAGCTAAACGGCACCTTATAAACCAAGGTTATGGGCACAACAATGGAATGTCTAGGCACACTTTTTTAATAACAAGCATACAAAGCTGAAAACGAACGAACTGCAGCTAAAATATTACGTTCATTTTTCACATGGTCTAGTCCTTCCCCTGCCCACCCCCCTAATATTCTTCAGAGGGTCTCTTCTCCAGTCTTTGGAGAGTAGCTAGAAGCAAGGAGGCAGAAAAAGGTCCTTTCCTTCCACTCTGTGGTTTTCATCAGAAATCTCAGGCGCAGGGCTGCACCCAGAGCTCAGAAACTGCTCGCACTAATGAAATTCGCTGTTGCAAAATGCCACTAGAACAATGGGAATTTCGAAACTGCCTGCAGGAGTGGGGGAAGAGGGCGAAAAAGTTCCCACTGTGCTATCTACAATGTCTCCCTGTTTGTGGAAAGCTCTCCCTAGGAAGAGTTGGCTGGCACCTTCATTATACAGTGGTACCTCGGGTTAAGAACTTAATTCGTTCCGGCGGTCTGTTCTTAACCTGAAGCACCACTTTAGCTAATGGGGCCTCCCGCTGCCGCCGCCACGCGATTTCTGTTCTTGTTCTAAATCAAAGTTCTTAACTCGAGGTACTATTTCTGGGTTAGTGGAGTCTGTAACCTGAAACATCTGTAACATGATGCTTCTGTAACCCGAGGTACCACTGTACACCTTTAGGCACCAAGCAAAAATGTTCCTTTTTAACCAGGCCTTTGGCTGATTGACATTCAATGCCCTTTTAAAGTGTGATGGGGGGGTATTTTTCTTATGCATTTTGTGTTTTCATATTGTGCTCTTTTCCTCGCGCACTGCCCTGCGCACAGGGCAGTATACAAAAGTAATGATCATCATCATCATCTCTTGGATTAGAGGAGAAGCGGGGCTCTTCTCCAGTCTTCGGAGAGTAGCTGGAAGCGGGGAGGCAGAAAAGGGTCCTCCTTTCCTTCCACTCTGCGGGTTTCACCAGAAATCTCAGGCGCAGGGCTGCTGCACCCAGAGCTCAGAAACTGCTGGCGTTTCCGGTCGCTAAATGCGCCTGGAGCAACGCTCGGTTTCGAACCGTGCGAGGGCTGCGCGTGTTGCGTTGCGCGCGGGCTCCCTCGCTCGCCTTGCCTTTCGGAAGAGAAGAGCCGGGGAGCCTCCTTCCTCCGCCGGCGTCCGAGGTGAGCGGCCAAAGGCGCCCAGCCGAGGACGAGCAGCAGCCGAGAGGCGGCTGAGGAAGCGCGGCCGCGAAAGAGGAGCCGAGGCCGTAGAACGAGCCCGCTTCCGAAGGGAAAGGGAGAGATGGAAAAGGCCGCAGGGGACGCACGCGCGCGCGCCTCTCCTCCCGGGGAGACTCTTCTTCCCTCACCCGCCTTACCTGCCGCCTTCGCCGGCCCACCAGCAGCGAGCGCCTCGCCGCCGCCGCCGCCGCCGCCTCCTCGCCTACTCCTCCGACTGCGCATGCGCCTTGGTGGCTCGCGATGCGTACCCAGCGGCGGCCGCCCAGAGCGGCGGCGCAGAGCGAGGGACGGAGTGCCGCCCCCTAGCGCTGGAGGACCGCCGCGCCTATGGTGGCGCAGCGGCCTTCGCGTAGCCTGAGGCGCTCCAAGACCGAGAGCGCTCCGAGGCAAGTGCAGAGCGCCGTGTCCCGGGCCGCATTGTCTCCCCCCCACCACCACCAAAAGAAAACCACCTCTGGTTATTGAGATTCTAATAAATCGACTTCGAGTACAATATAGCATTCTTTTTTATGTTCCCCTTTTTCTCCCCCCTCGTTTCGGCGGGGTTGCCATACGTCCGGAATTCCCGGGACTCAGTCGGCGCCGCGGGCGGGAGCGGTGTCGGTTGTGCGTCCGGGAAAATCCGGGCGGATGGAACGCGCGCCGGTTTTCCTCATAAATAGCTCGGAAACGTCCAGTTCTTTTGAAATTTTGCCAGGGGGCGCGTGGGAGCAGCTCAACAATTTCGCCAATGAAATCTCAACAAAGATTTGCCAAAGATTTTCAGTTTTGAAAATGGATTTTCCAGAAACAGGTTCATCATTGGGGCCTCTTAGTTTCGCCGTCAAATTAAACCCATTGTGCCCCCCTCTCTTCCCCCCCCATAAATTTTATTTTCAGGTTTTTCCAAATGGACATCAACAATCGTCAAATAACGATTGCATACATAGTTGTCGTTGCTTAGACTTCCCTCCACCTTAGGGTCGCCACTCGCCATATTTCAAAAAGTGAAAAACCAGGACACCCCCAAACTATTTTTTACACAGACCCCCAAAAAGCGTGATTTTAAAAAATAATAATTGTTATTAAGTTTTTCAGTTTCACATTTTTGAATATTCATATAAACAACCTTAAAATATCAACAACTTTCTTCTTCTCTTTCTATTGTTCATTTTGCATAACATAAATTCCTGCATCTTTTGCATAAACTAAACCATTCAGTATTTTTAGATTGACTTGATTTTTTGATTGATCCAGGACAAAGCGCCACCTTTTGGATATTCTCCGCATACGTCAATTCCACCTTTGAAATCCTTATAAATGTCCGGAAAAATCCGGACGTATGCCCGCTGTACCGTATACATACATTTGCCTCTTTCTTTGCTCCTTTTCGTTTCTTACTCTTTGTATTTCTGCAAAAGTCACCTTTTTTAAATATATCTTTATTAATTTAAAATAAATACATTTATGAGAAAACAGACGTACATACAAGTAAACAAACATACAATCAAACAAACAAATAACAGAAAAATCAAACAAACCACCACACTATAAGATACAAGAAGATTAATATAATTATCATCATATATACTCCTGATACTGAACACAATTATAAAACTTATAGAGAAGAAATTTAAAACTGACTTCCAATTAATCTCACTGTACTTTATCTATCCATTACTTTATACCGCACAGTTACATATTTCTTTTAACTGCTTGATGTATTTAATTGTTTACCATTTTTTTAAAAAATAATCTGCATATCTCCCCCATTCTTTGTTGAAAGTTCTTCCTTCTTTAAAGGCGTTGTCCCCCCTCCCTCTTTTTGGCAATTATTAATTGACATTTTATTGGGGAAAAAATCAAATATAAAGTAGTAAAGTGATACGAAAAGAAGAAAAAAGGGAAAAGAACAAAACACAGAACTGTGTAAAGGTGAGAGAAACATGATATGAATAGATACAAAAAATACCCTAACCCCTACATTCTTTTAAAAATTTCATATTATTAACCTAATACTAATAGAAATATTAATAGTCTACTACATTTTGTATAAATTCATTCTACATATTGTTGTGTTTATGCAATACTGTAGCTGCAGCAGTGTCTGGGCAAAAATCGTCAAAACGTCCGGGAAAATCTGGACGTAAGGCAGCCCATGATGGCAGTGCTGTTTTTGCTGACTTTCCATAAAAATAGCTCAAAAACAGTATTTTATTTTATTTTCTGCGACGTTGCCATAAAAGCTTGACAACTCTGGGCAAAACTTTAAAAAAGAGCTTAACAACTTTGCTAAAAAAGCTCCACTGTTTGAAATATGGCAGCCCTAACCTCTAAAGTTAGAGCCTCCAGATTGCACTGGATTTATGATACCCTCATCTCTAACTATTAGTCATGCTGGCTGGGTTGATAAGAACAGAAGTCCAACAAAATTTGGAAGGCCACAGATAAAAGCTGCAATCCTTTATTACATATTATTATTAATATTCTGTTGGGAGGCGCCCAGAGTGGCTGGGGAAACCAAGCCAGATATTATTATTATTATTATTATTATTATTATTATTATTATTTACCTGGCAGTAACTCCTGTTGTTCTCAGAAGGGCTTAGAGCAGCACGGAGAACACCTATAAAAATCCAGGGCTGCAGAAAAAGCTGCTAATTGTATGGTTTTTGCTGGGGGAACCTACTGTGCTGGCTTTGCTAAGATGGGTGACCTTGCAGTGGCATCACTTGTTTCTAAAGAATTGGGGCGTGTTCTCATAGAAATGTCTATGGCGCAGAAAAAAACAGAATGACAGCCTGGAAGAAAGTTTCAAGAAATTGCATTGTTTATTATAAAGTAAGATATGATTGAGGGAAATGTTGGTTTCAATGTGAACATGGTTTTAGAAACTGTAATGATGAAAAATATAAATATTTTTTTAAAAAAATAAAGTTTCAAGAAATGCTATCGTTTATTATAAGGTAAGGTACGATTGAGGGAATGGAATGTGGTTTTGGAAACTGTAATAATGAATTTTTAAAAATAAAATTTAAGTTTCAGGAAATTCCAGACCTACCTGCTGCTTCAGCTATTACGGTGACCAGAGGAGGCTGATCTCATGCTCAGCCTATCCTAGGCTTCCCCAACCTGCCACTCTCCAGATGTGTAGAACTACAACTCCTATCACCCCCAACGAGCATTCCCGGTTTTTCAGAGTCTCAGACTATTGTGCATTTAAAGCACACAGCTTTCCCTCAAAGAATCCGGGGAACCGCAATTCCTAGCACCCTTAGCAAACCACAGTTCCTGGGATTTTTGGGGGGGAGGAAGACAATCCTTTCTTCCGACTCTCATCTCCAGCTTGAGGAGACCCCGAACAACCACATATGGACTCAGCCACACAGCTGCCAATAAAATACGTGTTGTAAGGTGCAATATACAAATGTGACACTAGATGGCGGTGGTCAGCTATGGCAAATTCAATGTGGTTTTCGAAACGTTTTGAGAAGAAGCATATTGACAGCATTTTTTATATGTGTGTAGATTCCACCTTAGTCAAGCCAGAGGCTGGAGCAGGGTTTCCCAAACTTGGGTCTCAGGCTGTTTTTGGACTATGACTCCTGTCATCCCTAGCTAGCAGGACCAGAGGTCAGGGGTGATGCGAATCATAGTCCAAAAACAGCTGGAGGCCCCAGTTTGGGAGAGCCTGAGCTAGAAGCAGTTTGCTGCCCTTCTTAACCCAGTTTCTAGGGTTTTGAGATGAGGGGGTGACATATTGGAAACCTATTGCCTCAATAATAATAATAATAATAATAATAATAATAATAATTATTATTTATACCACGCCCATCTGGCTGGGCTTCCCCAGCCACTCTGGGTGGCTTTCAACAAAATATTAAAATACAGTAATGCATCAAACATTAAAAGCTTCCCTAAACAGGGCTGCCTTCAGATGTCTTCTAAAAATCTGGTAGTTATTGTTCTCTTTTACATCTGATTGGAGGGCGTTCCACAGGGCGGGTGCCACTACCGAGAAGGCCCTTTGCCTGGTTCCCTGTAACTTGGCTTCTTGCAGTGAGGGAACTGCCAGAAGGCCCTCGGCGCTGGACCTCAGTGTCTGGGCAGAACATTGGGGGTGGAAACACTCCTTCTCGAATGACCAGGCCAGGCATCCCCAAACTCGGCCCTCCAGATGTTTTGGGGCTATAACTCCCATCATCCCTAACTAACAGGACCAGTGGTCAGGGTTGATGGGAATTGTAGTCCCAAAACCTTTGGAGGTCTGAGTTTGGGGATGCCTGGACTAGGCCAACAACAGCAGGTTTTCTGTCTCTGGAGCAATGTTTTCCCTTGGTTGTAACACAGGGATGTGACGCCAGGCTTCTCTATCCAGCCCTCAGGACTCTCCTCAGGCTGCCATGCTCCCCGCAGCCCGGCTCACAACCTCCTTGGCTGGGAAGCGTCCTTCAAGTTTGATAATATCTTGTTTTCCTGGACGGGGGTTTTCTCTGCCCACTTTTGCATTCTGGCCCATCTTGGTTTTTTGCTCCTGACTCCATGCACGACCTGCATGGGAGCCCTTTGAAAGGTTGGGCAGAAGATGTGGGTCATAATATTGATTTGAATTTGTGGAAACAATTGTGGAAAACAAATTTAAAATTCACTGCTAGTTATGCGTTAAAGGAGAACCACCCAAAAATCATTCACAGATGGTACTTGACACCAAGCAAACCAGGCAAAATATTTAAATATAAAAGTGACCTATGTTGAAAATGCAAAGAAACAATTGGCATATTTTACCACTCATGGTGGTCTTGTAGAATAATAAAAGAATTATGGGAGATAGTACATAATGAACTTAAGGAAATGTTTAGAAGGACGTTTCCTCAAAACCCAGAAGCTTTCCTTCTGGAAATAACAACAGAAATCCCCAAAGATCTAATTACTCTATGGATGTATGTGTCCACAGCTGCCCGAATTCTGTAGCACAAAAGTGGAGAGCAGATGCAGTACCATCCTGAGAAGAATGGCACCTTAAAATATTAGAATGTATAGAATTTGCCAGTATGACAAATAGATTGCGATATAAAGACAATAAGGATTTAAAAGAGCACTGGACATTATATATAGATTATATGTGGAAATGTTATAAGAAGAAAATAATCGTAACTGGCTGACAAAAATACTCAGCAGTAAAGGTTACAATGTGGAGTAATGTAAGGTCATGAAAGCAACTTTGTAGAGCAAGAAAACACAGTTGA